AAAGGGTAAAATAGTAAACTTACATATTCCCGTTGGTAAATTAGACGGCCGTTACTGATAGGGAGTGTAGGTGAAATTATGAAATGTAAAGGGTGTGTGTGGAATATTAACATAGTTCAGGGGGTATAAGTGGAATTAACCCTAAATTCTAAATCTAGGAATACAAAAACAGTACGTCCCTTTCGCAATTTTCTATACAAACTATATCATAATTAATAACACCATTTTGAATGCATAGGGTTTGGTTTGGTTGTTACAGCTACCTGATTTGGAGTAAAACCCTAGCTGCTTATTCCTTTCTTTTAGCCATTACCGTCCAGTTTTCTATCTATTTATTCTCGTAATTAAGATGTAATTCTGATGCACATATTATATAATTCATTTGACTGGTTTTTATTATTCAAAATCCATATGTGCTTTATATTATTTTGTTAGAAATGTAGAGTGAGAAAGTATGAGACTCAATGGGTAACGTTTTGAGTTAAATAAATACAATGTACACAAAACATTGAGGAATAAGAGTAAGTGAGTGTTATACAAATTAGAATAGGTGATTGATAAACAAGTTATTTATGTATGATTAGGTAGGTCATGAAGACGGCTGCTCAATGTCCGATGTGACCAAACATAATTCGCCTGATTCAGCATGGATCATCGTTCACGGTCACTTCTATGAATGCACCTTCGTCAAAGATAACTAGGGTGGCGCTGACAACATTCTTATCAACAGATCTCAACATTTGTAGATAGGAGCTAGAGATTCATATATTTGAGAGATGATGAGAGTGACTAGGCCGGCAAAACCACTATTCATGTTGTCATCCTTCTGGCCTTCTTAATCACACGTTCAAACCCTGGATTTGTTTGATCGCGAACCTTCTAAATTTGTTTGATCATGAACCTTCTGGATTCTTTTCACTATCGTCTATAAGCTTTCTGGATTCTTTTCACTATCGTCCGGAAGCTTTCCGAAAGGACTATCGTCTAGAAGCTTTCTGAAATCTTTTCACTATCATTTGGAAGCTTTCCGGAAGGATCAACCTTCTCAATGGATTTGTTTGATCAACGTGAACCTTTTATTTTTATTTTTATTTTTTACTATCGTCTAGAAGGATCATCGTCAGCATTCTGGGTGGATTTTTTTTATCAATGGAACCGAATTGTTGAATTCTTTTTTGTAAAATTTGAACCACCACATTATTTCTCTATTTTTTTTTAGTTATTCAAAAGAATAGCAGTCTAGCTTGTCTGCCACTCCTAATTTATCAACTTAAGAACCTCAGTCGTAACAGTTTGTCATCCTTAGGCAATCTCCTCTCTGATGTTTAGTTACTATATATAACTTTTCACTTAAATTATAACTAAATGACTATCTCCATCTAAAATTTTCTCTAATCTATCAATTTTTACCAATTCTTCAATATTCTATAATCCTCCCCCATCCCTAACATATACTGGCTTATTTATTTTAATTTATATATTATTATATTGAAAATATAAAAGACATAAAAGAAGAAAAATAGTAACAAAATATCATACCTTTTGCTAACTCTCTTCTCCATCGTATCATTGAACCAGCCAAAACCAAAATCATGGCTGAACCTCCACTAAACACAAAAATCAACAGATGCATCCTTCACAAATGGGAAATCCCAGACACAATCCTTCGACCCCCTCCCAAACCATCAGATTAGAGGAAAAAGGCGGAATATCCACCTTGCTGCATCCACGGCTGTTCACCGAATTGTTGACTTGGTTGTTCAAAGTCTTGTTTCCCTCCTTAGGAGGCTGTTTTGAAGCTGTTTGGGTCTAGTTCTGATGTGGCTGGGTCTGCTTTGGATTGGGCTGGCTTTTGGGCCGGGATTGTATTTTTTCCATTGTCTCCCTCAGGCTATTGTACTTGTTCTATTACATTAATAAATTAAATTTTACCTTTCAAAAAACACAAAAAACAAACACAATTACATGTTTACAAATATTTAGAATGATGCACTTTTAGGTAAAAGATTTAAAATGTTGAGACCAAAATTTTATCCGATAGTTAATGGCATATTTAAAAATAAATAAAAATTCAAAAATTTGAAATTAGAACCTAAAATAATAAATGCTAAATTGCTTGACGTTGGATAAAATGCTAGCAAATTGACTGAAAAGTTACATATTTGCAATCTCAGATCTATATAGTACATGACTAATTATTTCACAATTTATTTCACGAGTCGAAGTCGTCATTGACGTCGCATAGAATACGAAACAATGAAGGGCCGAAGTGAGAGGCCGACCGTGTTCCATGAGGCTGATTTGAAATGGGCTTTTAATTAGTTGGATCTTTAAAGGGAATATGGGCCAATCTTATTTGGGCCTTTGATTCTGCAATAAGGGGTGTATTTTACCTATGGGGTAACATATTTGGGCTGAAACAACTTGTTGACATATATGGGCTGGATCGACAAGTTGTGAAATGCTGGTAAACGAACTTAACATTGTTGAGGTGGGCTCATTTACTAAACCAGCCCAATAATAGTGTGCAAGCTAAGTATTCAATCTAGCTCCAACAACTCGATTTATTTGCAACTATCTCAATATATGTACTTCAATTCTCGAAATAGCGAATTGTGTTAACAAAGATTTGGAACTTGGAACATTCTACGTTTGGAAAATGGTACAAGTTATTTTAAAGGTTAGGATTATATCCATCTTTAATCGAGTTTTTCTAGTATTCTTTTGGAGAGTGAAATCCGATCTGGTGATAAACTTCTAACCAAAAATCTGAAACTGTTAAAAAAAATTGGCCGACTATGTATATCAACACACAAAGTATGTACCATAACTAAAAACAATAGCACGAACTAAGAGAACACAAGCTATAAACAATGGAGAAAGGCATGTAATCAAGTTCAAAAGTAAAAATTCATTGGTAAAACTGCAAAGCACTTTTCCTGATGCCTCTGTTCTTTGACCAAATCTTTTATGAAAAGATTTAACTTACAGGTAGGAACGGCAATGGGACAGTTTTGGGCAGGTGTACCCTCTTTTGTCCTCACAAACATTTAGAAAATCTTGCCTCGTCTCCGTTCAAAACTGCCTAAACAGGAGAGTTTTTCACCCCATCCTTGCTCCGTTTAACTTTTTTTTACCCCGTCCAAAACCGCCTGAACTGTGACTCAAGTGACAGTTTTCTAAATGAACGCCACAGTTCTCTAAGTGAACTTTTAATTTGAAGCGGAGAGAGTAACATTTAAGTAGACTATTTTATCTTCAATTATAATCAAACGTGCATAATTGAGAGCTGATAGGAGTGACTAAAAATACGCTAAATCACTATCCATTTTGTCATCCTTCCGGCACTCTCTGGATCCATTGTCAAATAAAATGACATGCTCAATTCCTCCACCCACCAAACAAAACAAAAAAAACACCTTAATTTTCAGTATCCACGGTTATATATGTGACCATTATGCTATTTTCTTACTGTCACCAGCCTAGTACGTGCGTGCTATGTGGCTTACTCTCAAGGTATCGTGGTTCGTTGCATGTAACTTTATATATATATATATATATATATATATAATTATTGGATTTCTTTCCGACAAGTTTAGGTTATAAAAAATTATAAATTTATCTGAATTTATTCATTAGACCATGTTCAGATTTTTAAATTTTTTTGTTTACATTTGTTCAACCCAAACATACCCCTCGCCCTTTTGTTGTCTAATAGAGACTATTTTTTCTACTCTTTCGGTTGATTTTTACCATTTCTTATTTGATATTGTGGTGTTTGACTGAACATTTGTTGATTTCATGTTGAAAGGAAGTTCGACCCTTAGGCGAGTTAGACGGTCGCTTAAAGCCCCAACTAATAAAAAGGTCCAAAATATTATAGTTACCGAGTATATGATATATTGTAATGGTTTCCTTGAACATTAATTCTAAAAAAATTTATCTCCTAAAATAACTCTTCTTTTTTTGTTTTTATCTCCTTATCATCATTGAGGCCTTTTATTAAACTTTAACCAAGAGAGAAATTATTTGTCTCCTAAAATATCTCATTTTTTTTATTTATTTCCTAAAATATCTCATTAATATTTTATTTCTCTTTGTCTATTTTATACACGTTTTTTTTTTTTACACCAGCACAATATATATTTAATAATTTTTCGGTAAGTTGTACCACAATAAATATTTAGCCGTTGTATGGAGAAGTAAAGAAACTTTCTATATTCTCTTTTTCTAAATTTTTACTTTTTATTTATTTATTTTTCTTATTCTTAATCTTCACGTCCATTCGGAATTCTGATTTCTCTCATCTCTTAGCAAACTCAACAAGTTAGTTACAAGTTACAACTCATCTCCCTTCTTAGTCTTCTTTCATTACAACTTTACAATTTTTTTTCTTCTCGACTCAATATTCATTAGTTTCAAGTCTCAATTTGAATGCACTTTTCTTTTATTAAAGAATTTGCAGCAACATTGGTACTTTCTAAATTAGGTTATATTGCATCTCAAAAAGCAAGAAGAATAGTTTTTAATTAATTATTATGGTATATAGCATATTATAATATAAAAAAGCCACATTTTATTTTTCATCTAAGACCCGATTTACTTTGAGCCGCCTCTGGAATGGATTGTGTCCATTGGTCACACTAGGTTCACTACTCATAATATCACATACGAAGTAAATATGCGTGAGTTGTTAGTTGTTACTCAGGACTCCTAAAATTTATCACCCTCACACTCAGAGGTTTTAGCTTTTAACTAATTAAAAATGTTCAACTAATTATGAATATCACTCATACCAATATATATATGATCAACGATCAGAATGAATTCCCGTCAATAGATATCATTTAGTGACTAGAACTTTCAACCCAAATGTATATACATATTTACATCTAGAATTTACCACAATCTATCAATTTTTATCAACCCTTCAATGTTCTAAATTTTTTTTTTTTTAGTATCATACCCAACATATTCATATTTTTCTACCGCATTTTACTAATGCCTTGTTTGATGCGCAATTGGTAGAAAATTTAGAATATTGAGGCCAAAATTTTATGGTAGATTAAAATTTGGGTAAAATGCTTGAGTTGGGGAAACAAATTTGAATCTAGAGAGTTTCCACACGTATATTTAATTTTAAAGGTTAAGATCATATCAAATTTACATCTCTCAAACACCCTCAAAATGAAAACTATACCGGATTAATGATCATATATGTGCTCCACAATAATCAATGTTTTAACGCTGATGAGCTTTTCTTTTCTATAACCAACATACATTAAAGGGGCAAGCGAGAACCACTAGTGAACGTCACGCAGTAAAAACAATCGCAGCTGAAGAACAAAACCAGTAAAAATGGACAAAGGAATGCATTCAAATTACAAAATAAAAACTCATTTCAAAGTGAAATTACATATAAAAGAAACAAAATATTCTTGAACTGGGCTCAAGTTTGGCTGCTTTGTCTATAATAATTAGAAAGCAAATTTAGAGCGAAATCATATAGATTTCAAATTGTTGAACTTGGCACAGTGACATGCAAAGAGCTACATATATGCCATGTACTCTCATAACCCTTTTGTTTCTCATATCAGCATAATTAACTCCACGGGCCTAAACATCAATTTGAATCACCCATTCATATCTGAAAAATTAATTCATATCTGAAAATTTTATGTAGCAACTATAACCTTTGAAGATGGGAGTAAGAAATGCGTTGAATAAATTTTTTGAGAGATGACAAGAATGACTCCATTTTGAGACTAAATTACAGTGTATTTTATAATTTTCTTTATTTTTTCTCCTGGTAAGTGAACGATCCATTGGTTTTGTAATAAGGTAGTGTGATATTATAATTTCAGTGTTAACTGCTGACCAAACAAGAAATCTCACGAACATTGCTAGCATGCAATGCCATTTTTTTTTTTTTTCTCTCATCCTAAGGTAATAAACTGAAAGAAGAGCAAAAGACAGTGATACGAAACGGCAAAACTCGGGAAGCATAAAAGAATGAGTAAACCTCAATCTGCAGTATCATTGCGTTGAACTCTGGTGTTACCTCTTTCTAGTGTTAAAACTAAAATATGCAAAGCAGCACAGAATTACGGGAATGAAAGTGTTCTTTTGAAGTCAAAACCAGAAACCAAAAGGAACAATTTTAGAGAGTGAAATAAACTGAAAGATAAATAACAAAGAAAGGGCCAAAAAAAATAACAGGAGAATCTACAAAACAGAGAATTCATTTAGCAAATGCATTGGGAACAGAGGTAGATGTTAAAACAAACAAATCTGGTCCTGTGATAGAATTTGGGATATAGAAAGAGATTATACAATGTTACTATAATTTGTTGAACTCCATAAATTATCATTCAATGATATCTCTGTCAGAGGTATCGTCAATCTTAAATTCATCATAACCAATTCAATGTATCAAAAACATGCTCTGAGTAATGACAAATGAGTTAAGCTTATTGTGCGTTTGATTGTGCTTTATGTATGCTCAAATGATTCTATGAATTACCCTCATCCCAAAGCATACTATCGTATCCTGAGTGATAGCCATTATCTGTTTGTAGGTACTACTGATGCATTTCTTGACACAAGAAGAACGTTTTCGGGGCATCAATTGGTGAGGCCCTCAATGGTTCAATGTATAAGGCATTCAAACAGATTTGTTTTAATGTGTTAATTCCAATGTTATCATATACATCATATCAAAAAGGTCAAGTCTGATACCAATAAATCGGACAGGGGACCAGGCAGACATCATATCGATGTCTCTCAATCCACTGTCATAGAAAATAAAATAAATAGTACCCCTGACCTGGAAACTCACCATCATCAGCACCTACATTCTCATGCAAACTTGCAAAATGCGTCCCCTTTTGTTTTCTGCAACTTCTCCACCAAAATTTTGTTTTGGATGGTTAAAGAATATAACTGCACCAAAATCAAATCCACTAAGTTTTTAGACTAAATGTGTCAATATAACAAATCTTTTATAAAAAATTTAAAAAGCACAAAGTCAAAAATGGTAAAGAAATTTTCGGCTACTGAATTAAATTGGAAAGCGGAAGATAGAAAAGGGGTAAAAAAATAGGTACATGAAATAGGTACATGCCAAGTTTAAATCAAGGAAATGGTGAAGTAAAAAACCTGCTTCTTGATGCATTCCCTTTCCATGGCTAGTTGCGTAACCATGCCCATAATAAACTTGGTCTAAACAATAATCTCCTTTGCAATTGTTGCTTTTGCATCTTTAGCTTACTGCAAAGATGTCTCCAAGGATTCTATTCTTGTCGTCTCTAAGTTAGTTTCAGGTTATACAACACATTGCTCCCCTGCATTCTCAGTCCTAATTTCATCTTTTGAAACCTTTGATTTCAGTTCCTCAATTAAAGTTTCCATATCTCAGATTGCAGAAGACAACATGTCCTGCTGCTCTAGACTTGCTTCAGAGGATGCCCTTGTATGTTGTAGTTGAATTTCTTACCTTCTTTGTTTCTTTCAACAAAAATCATTTCCCAACTACACATTATACACACACGCATCTGTATATATATATATATATATATATATATATATTTATGTGTGTAAATATATATATGTGTGTGTGTGTGTGTGTGTGTGTGTGTGTATGTGTGTGTGTGTGTGTGTGTATATTTTACGTGAACAACTACATCTTAAGCAGTGCTCTGAGACTTTATAGATGTAATTAAATAATATTAACCATTTTATGTATAAAGAGAGGGAGAGATGTGAAACTAGCCAGTTGCTGTAACCAAGAGGATGAGCAGAACCACCATATTCAAATGCTTCATCTTTTTGGTTTTGCCTTAGATAGGAATCAAAGAGAAAGATGATCGATTTAGTTTGCAATGTCATAGTAAATCTCTATCGACGATATATATATTTTGTGTTGGAATGTTTAAATATTAAAGTTACATCCTCTCCAACAACTAAACTTCTAGAGTAGATTGTAGTTAACATGGTATCAAGAGCAGGTCCTATGTTCAAACTTAGACTGTTTGAAATTTTTTTTTTTTTTGATCTTGGGACTTTCTACAAATAATTCTAAAAGTTAGGATTATATCCAATATACTATTAGAATTACATATATACCTTCTAACACCCTCAAAGTGAAACCCTCAAAGTGAAACTATACTGATAATGACCTCCATAATGATCAATGTTGTATCATTAATGCTCCGTTTGGTCGGAGGGATGAAAAAAAAAGGATGGAAGGGAGAGAGCGAGGGATGGATGAGGCATGCCTAGAAGAGAAGGTGCCTCCCTCACTTTTTATTTGGAAAAATGGGAGGGATAGTAGAAAGATTAAAATTGGTATATTACTTTTTTTGGGTTAGTTACTCTTTCTTTCCCTCCTCTCTTCCGCCTAATTTTGGACCGATAAAAAAACAACAGGTTAGGAGGGATGCTTCATCCCAACTTGCTTCCTCCCTCCCTTCCCTTTCCTCCAACCAAACATGAGAAGTATCGCCTATCCCTCCCCTCCTCGATCCGTCTTTCCAACCAAACATAGCATAAGACTGAAGATTTTTTTCTTTTCTATTACGACAACACATTGGAGGGGGCAAGAGAGAACCAACATACATCGGTGAAAATTGTATATGATAAGAGTACATAGCATAACCGGAACAACAACTCTATTCTCACTCGAAAACACTGAGAGAGCGATCCCCTCAGTAATTGATAATCAGTCTTAAAATTTCTCTGTAGACATAACCCCTTAACCCCTATCTCTCTCTCTCTCTCTTTCTCACTCCTATGTTGCAGGTTGCAGGTTGCAGGTTGCAGCTGAAGTGATCTACCTCTCCCTCACTTCTATGGTCTCTCTCTCTCCCCCGTTGAATAATACGAAGAAAAAAAAAAACATGAATTTTTTTTTTTAGTTGTCCATCTTTCCTTTTTGGGTTGTCCCAAAATACTTGTCCACTTACCAAGTTTAAACAACATATTTTACATCTTTTCATAAAATCCTAAAAATTTTAAAAAATTTCAAACTTGATTATATGTATATTTAAACTTGAAAGGGTAGCTTTGTAATTTTTAAAGGGAACAATGCAATAATTACATGCCCCTTAAAAAGTTCTACTCCCTAAAAGGGACATCTAATATGGGACAGAGGGAATATATATATATATAAAAGAATACAGTTGTAACCAATAACATAAGCGTGTTTTCACGCTTGGCCAATTACAAACAAATTGGGCATTGATAGCGCGTGAAAGGCAGATCATCATCTTCAAGCTTTCAAATATGTTTTCCAACCACATGCCATCTTCGAATCACAAAGCTTCCTAACACCGTGAATGGAAGCCGATTCAACAAAAAAAAGATGATTGTTTTTTTTTTTTTTTTTTGTAATCCTTCTCAAGCATCAATCCACACATCCTTTTGTGTGTTTTTGTCATCAGCCGTGTCCGAAGAGAATGTGAGAAGTTCGACCCGAATCTAAATCCATTGTCTGTGTCTGTGTCGTGTCGACACATACACTCTAGCCACCACTGGCGAGTCCAGGTAAACATAAGTTACAAGTGATTGACAGGCTCTGATACCATGTTATTCTAACATGGTATCAGAGCCCGTCGATCACTCATAACAGCCTTATCAGTTTATCATCATCACTGCCGGGGATGGCACAATCAGCCTCATCCCCGGCAATGGTCAACCTTCAAACTCGTGCTCCCTCACGCACCTCCAGGATCTTCATAGATCCACCCCATGCAACCAGCTTCATCCACACTCTGTCAACACTTCTTCAACCATTATTATTCAACCCTACCATTTACAATTAGGGTTGGGCTTGGGCGGAAAAATCTCAACCCGAACTTAATTAGGGTTGGATTAAGGTGTCAGCAACCCAAGCTCAACTCAAACCCGAATTCTATATTTTTTTTTGTACACATTTTATTTAAAATATATTATATATAAATATTCAAATTATGATCACCTTTCCTTTTCAAATTTCATTGTTTAAATCTTAATTTATTTGTATGTCAACACTTTAAAGAATCAATTTTTTAAGAATTTGTTTATTTGAATATTATATATAAATATTCAAATTATGATCACCTTTCCTTTTCAAATTTCATTGTTTAAATGTTATTTTATTTGTATGTCAACACTTTAAAGAATCAATTTTTTAAGAATTTGTTTATTTGTATTATATATATATGTGTGTGTGTGTGTGTGTGTGGGAGAACAGTTGTAACCCATATCACAAGCGTGTTTTCGCGCTCGGCAGATTACAAACAAATTGGGCATTGATAGCGCGTGAAAGGTAAACATCATCTTCAAGCCTTCAAAGATGTTTTCTAACCAGATGCCATCTTCGAATCACAGAGCTTCCTAACACCGCAAAAAGTAAACATCATCTTCAAGCCTTCAAAGATGTTTTCTAACCAGACGCCATCTTCAAATCACAGAGCTTCCTAACACCGCAAATGGAAGCCGATTCAAAAAAAAAAGAAGATTTATTTTTATTTTTATTTTTTGTAATCCTTCACTAGCATAAACCCACGCATCCTTTTGTGTGTTTTCATCATCAACCATGTCCGAAGAGAAGATAAAGAGTCCAACCCAGATCCGATGTCCGTTTCTGTGTCGTGTTGACACCGACACTCCGGCCAGAACCAGCGAATCCGGGTAACATAGGTTACTAGTGATCGACCGACTCTGATACCATGTTAGAATATGTGTAATATACACATATTCTAACATGGTATCAGAGCCAGTCGATCATTGGTAGCAGATGCCATCTTCGAATCACAGAGCTTCCTAACACCGCAAACGGAAGTCGATTCAACAAAAAAAAAAAAAAAAAAAAAAAAAAAAATCCTTCACTGGCATCAACCCACGCATCCTTTTGTGTATTTTCATCATCAACCATGTCCGAAGAGAAGATGAGGAGTCCAACCTAGATCTGATGTCCGTTTCTGTGTCGTGTTGATACCGACACTCTAGCCAGAACCGGCAAATCCAGGAAACATAGGTTACCAGTGATCGACCGACTCTGATACCATATTAGAATATGTGTAATATTGTTTTACACATATTCTATCATGGTATCAAAGCCGGTCGATTATTGATAGCAGTCTTATCAGTTTATCGTAGTTCGAGGATGGCACCATCAGCCTCATCCCCGGCGGAGGTCAACCTTCAAACTCACGCTACCATACGCGCCTCCAGGAACTTCACAAATCCACCCCACGCAACCAGCTTCATCAACGCTCCGTCAACACTTCTTCAACCATTATTATTTATCCCTAACATTTACAATTAGAGTTGGGTTTGGGTGGAAAAATCTCAACTTGAACTTAATTAAGGTTGGGCTTGGGTTAAGGTGTCAGCAACCCGAGCTCAATTTAAACCCAAATTCTATATTGTTTTGTACAAATTTTGTTTAACATATATTATATATAAATATTCAAATTATGATCACCTTTCCTTTTCAATTTTCATTGTTTAAATCTTAATTTATTTGTATGTTCACACTTTGAAGAATCAATATTTTAAGAATTTGTTCGTTTTTTTTCTTCATATAAATTTGTATTAAGGTTTTAAAAAATTTATGCTGAGGAGTAATCTAATCTGACACTAACAAAAGATCACTCTAAATTTCCAATGTGGAGATTAACTATATAGATAACCCAAATTAACCTAACTTTCTAACCCACAATCTCAACACAGTTGCAAACCTAAGTTTAAAAATTCAAAGATGAGTTGTGCTCAAGTTGAGAAGTTAGGGTTAGAGATCGGATTAGACCGTTAGACTTGGGTTAGAGTTGAACATTTTATACACTAGCGGATCCAGGGGTGGGCATTGGTTGGCTCAATACCACCCCAAATTTTTTTATTTTATTATTGTTTTTTTTCTATACCCAATTTTAGCCCAACCAAAAAAATAAATAAATTATTACTAGTATTAGCCCACCCAAATAAATATTAGCCCACTCCATTGACAATTCTTGGATCCGCCCTTGATTTTATATGTTAGGTTGAGACTGAGTTGCAGCCTTAATTGATACTGTGTCTTATTTTAAGCATAGAATAAGACTATAGAGTTTTTTCTTTTCTATAACCAACATACATTGGAGGGGCAACAGAGAACCAGCACAAATTGGTGGGAATGTGTGACAAAGTACATTAGCAGAGTACATAGTATTACAAATTGACAAAATCTATGTCTTTTTTTTTCTTCATATTAGTTGGCAACCTGCAAGAGAGAAAGATGGGGTTGAGTGGTTATGTTAAGAGAGAGAGAGATGACTTCGGCTGCAACCTGCAAGAGAGAAAGATGGGGTTGAGTGGTTATGTTAAGAGAGAGGGAGAATTTAAGACAAGAATATCAATTACTGAGGGGATCGCCCTGTCAATGTTTTAGAGTAAGAAAAGAGCTGTTGTCGTGGTTATGTTTAGAGAGAGGGAATTTAAGAAAGTAGTCACAGTAAATATTACTGAAGGGGCGATATCAGTGATATCTCTGTAGTGGTTTAGAGTGAGAAAGAGCTGCTGTTGAGAGAGTTTAAAGAAGGGAGTCCATTACTTGTTTCTCAACTATAGAATTGAATCAATTGACAAGCTTACTCAACTGAAAATTGTTAGGCGAGTTCGAGATTATAGCTTCATCCAATTATTTACTTTGTACTCTCCCACCAATATATGTTGCTATGATAGTTTGTATCTATAAATATATATATATGTGTGTTGCTATGATAGTTTGTATCAGATGCTATGTACTCTCAGCTCTCTTAAGTGCATTTTTTCTTCATCTTCATCAAATTTTCTCTCCTTGTAATATTTAAAATTTTAAAGTCACATACACACTAATCTTAGTGATGAGAAATCTTAATAAATGGACCCAACTACTTATAGTACTCAATCCCTGCCAAAAGGAAGGGCTATCCTGCAATAAACCGACCAAATCGAGAATTATATGCATTTGTGAGGACTGATCCAAATCTAGTGAAACAAACTCTAAACCAGAATTCTAAAACTGTTAGAATTGGCTGGAATATATATACTCACAAAGTATGCCCTGATTATTATAATCACTAACGACAAACCCAGTGCAATTAACACCTAAAAACAATAGGACAAACAAGAAGAACAAAAGTGGTAAAAATTGGAGAAGACAAGTATTCAAATTACAAACTCATCTCAGAGTGTAATTGTGACAAAATAAATAAATAAATAAAATAACACTAAAGCACTTTTCTCAATGCCTGTAAGTGTATGATCTACTAGCCAAGGAAGCAAGGCTAAATTGAGTGACAATAATATCACATCATACCCATTATCACTAAAATATATGAAACCATACTTTTTTAACTCCTAAAAGAGATATCACTAGTCTACGAGCCATAGAATAATGCTACTAAATCTGTTAGTATCGGCAATGTGACTTCGGGTTTGACTAAAGTTTGATCAAGCAGCCCTAAGATTTGTATTATGGTCTAGCAATTTTGATTCTGAGAGGGACCAAAATTTGACAAAAGTTAAAGTATAACCAAGTTCTAAGTTAACAACTATACAATATTTTGTTTTCCCAAGCACAGTTTACAATTTACATATATATAGATATATGCTAACAGGCAAACACATAGGAATGCAGGGACCAAAAAATTTGGGTCCCTACGCCCCTGCCTAAATGTAAAGATATTGCCTCAGCTTCGTTGGATAAAAAGAGGTGGCATTTAAGACAATTAAACTTGTGCTGACAATTAAACATTGCTTGAGCTCGACTAACAATGCCTCCTAAAGACTCAAAACCCCTAAAGCTTGACAAAGCACGGAAATTTGATTGTGCGACCCAATCCCACTTCTGTGTCAGGCAAAATCCACTAATACTCAAGTTGTCCAGGTTATCACAAAAAATCATTTAGAGCTTAGAACATGTCAATACAAAAAGGATGTGTTTTGTCGCATTACCATTAAAAACTAAATTAGAAAGAATAATATCAACAACAGAAACATTAGCAGCAACAGCAATGACACCAAATTAATGGTAAATCAGGTTATCATTTGCGAGTGCTCCAAAACATAGAAATTTGTAGGAACTTAAATCTTACCTAAAAGTACTTCATTGTTCTAGAAGATAAAAGACAGCAACAGTCTTTGAGTCTGTCCCATGTGAAATAAAGAAGTGGTCATTGATAGATAACTGTATCAAATAAATATTAGTCAGATTGATATCTAAACATGTCTTGTTAAATTAGACTGACAACAATATTATTCTGAAAATGAATAGATATAAGGGATCAATAATGGTGGGATTTTAACATCCAAGTTGAGAAAATAGAGAGTCATAGCTGGATGTCTTTTTTCCAAAAATTCTATTGCTCGTATAGTCTGAAACGAGTATACAGTAACAGGCTGTGTTTTGGTGCTCAAAATCCTTTCTTTTCTTTCCTATCTTCGTAGAGATCAGAATAAGACCTGCACCTCAGATTTTGAATCATGAAATAACTCCTTGTCAAAAATCCTAGTCAAAATGACAAAATAGAAATTAAACAAAACACTAGGAACAGTAATCTATGCCGCCAATTAAAGTATTTCACATATTGAGAATTAGCAAACAATCGAATGCGCCGACACAACAAATGACATGGAAAGACTTGCTACATATTCAAAAGTAACACAACACATCTGACACTGCAGCAATATATATTAAAATGCTATATCTTCGACCACGGCTACGATTTCAGATGCATCCTATTAAGTTATAAGCAAAGAGTTATACTACACATATATGAAAACAAAGAAGTACAAGAACTATTTCATGGAACCTAAGAGAGTTGTTAAACAAGAATCCAGAAAGGCACTTGATACCAATTTAGTTAATCCATTATTTTATACTTGAGTTAATCTGCAAGTTTGACCCATTTAAGTTTAACATGTTAAAGAGGTCATTAAATAAGTTAAATGTCATTAAATGCATTTTGACCTGTTTATTAACTGAGTTACACGAACACCATCACTAGTCAACCCTTTCACAGCACCCAAAGACCCAAAATGCTGTATCGAATGCATACTCGTCTTCTGAAGTTATACAGAAATTAACTGCAGGCAGCAAACAAAAGAATAACAGTATATTTTACTTACAAAGGTTCGGAGCCGCCAAGTCTTCTGATCCTGCTTGAGAACAAGTGTAGCAAGCTTTCTGCAACTGTGTCACAAGAAAAATGTCAAAAACATTATTTGAACAACAATCAGAGCAATTTTTTTTTTTTTTTTTTTGATAAGTAACAACAATCAGAGCAATTTGCCAGTGATAAGCTGAACATAGTATATAATAACTCATGTAATTGATTGCCAGGTAATTACATTGCTTTCTAGAAATTGAGTATAAGAAATTGAGTCAAAAACATTATTTGAACAACAATCAGAGCGATTTGCTAGTAATAAGCTAAACATAGTATGCAAACCAGAAAAGTGAAACGGAAAGAAGGAAAAAAAATAAAAAGCCAACAAGAAGCAAGAAAAGAAGCAGTATAAGAAATTGATTTATAAGAATCAAAATATACGTGCATTGTACATAGAAATTGGTTTATAAGAATCAAAATATACATGCATTGTATATCATTTTGTTTTTGTGAAAAACATAAATGAGGACATTCACTCATAAACGCATCCTAATGTCTTACCCAGAGCATCTATAAAAGCACCACACCTAGTCTTCCAAAGATGAAAGACCACAGATACCAATACTCACCTAATTTAACAAACGTTGCTTTGCTTTCTTATTAATGTCACACTATGAATAATAAACAATTTTTCTAACTAGAAGACAAGATTTTATTTGACAATGCTCAGTCCAAGATTCACTACCTTCACCATATGTAAGCCCCATATATCCTCTAAAAAGACCAAAAAAAATCATAAAAATTATGTGAATGCCTAATGAAATAAATAAATAACAGAAGAAGTAAGAAAGGAAGGAACACATCAAACCCACACCAATAATTAACAATTTCATTGAAGAATTAGTCCCGAAAGAGACATCAAAAGAGAGAGAAAAGCAAAAGAGAGAGACGAACATACAAAACAAGTTTAAGATACACCACTTATATTCAGTCACTCCAAGCAAAGCCTGAGAAACAAAAGGTAAGTAACTTCTCAAGAAAGTAGGAGAAAATTACAGAGAGCAGTTTTACAGTGCCAGCCAATTGTTAGAGTTCGGTGCATTTCATTAACAACAATCAGACCTAGGGTTTGAAGGTAGACATTTTAACCGAAACAAAAGCTATAGTATACATCCATATTTATAAATTAGAAAAATAAAATAGTACAATTTGCCCGTTATGCCCAATGTGTTCGGTGTGGTAGAATCCTTACAGATTTCCTGCAAATCAGAGTTTTAAAACTAATTAAAACTTTAAAATAAGACTGAAATTGAGCATATTGATGAAGAAAATGTTTAACAGATTTTTGAAAAATTGTCGTATTGAATTTGATTTTACCATCATCAGCATTGACGGCAATAGCGAGTTTCGTCTGATGTGGAGAGTGAGAGAAGAGTTTTACAGAGTTGTTGTCGATCGAGTTTGAGAGAGAGGGGGGTCTAGGTTTGTTTGCAACTTCCAATATTGCTCTTATTTATAGTTGAAAGAGTGTTTAGTGCACTTTTGCCTTATTTATATATATACACACCCCAACAAATAATTATAGATGTATAGCCATATATGTGTGTGTGTATGAGATTGTTTGAATCCGTCAGAATCGTAACGGTTGTGAATCAGTCTCCTTTCCACACTTTCCTAGTAATTCACAAGTCGTTCATTGATTTAGTCAAAAAATATGAAATACTTGGGGGCGAAGTATGAGGCGGATTGTTTTGATATTCTGTTTTAAACCTTCTTTTTTTTTTTTTTTTTTTGACAAAAATAGAAATAATACTTATAGGAGTTTTAAAAAATAAAAAAATTTAAAAATACGTTTAAGAAAGATACTTTGTTGTAAAAATATTGAAAATAAAAAAAATAAAATAACATCAAATATAATTTTATTGTCAAAATTAACACTGTAATAGTCAAAAAAAAAAAAAAAAATACAAACGGCCCTTAGAGGCAAAATGAGAGACGATAGAGTATGACATCACAAAATGAGAGGCAAAATTAGAGTTTTTCTTTTTGTTGTTTTATATAAATGGACTTTTGAATCTTTTGATCAGTTCGGTCTTTAAAGGGAATATGGACCATTTTTATTTGGGCTTTTAAGTCTAACAACAAGGGTCTCAGGGGGTGTATTTTTTATATAGGCTTATTATTTCAATGAATCTAATTTTTGTATATGGACTTATTATTTCAATGAATCTCACTTGCTTACAAATATGGGCTTGATTACAACTATGGGCTTGGCCCATATTGTTTACGTATCGTTGCTGGCAAACGAGCCTAACATTGTTCAAGTTCAAGCTTTGGATGAGTCAAACCCAAACAACTCGGCTCATTTCTGGTCCTTACCATCTCAATATATTAATTTTAATTTTTTTAAAATTTTTTTTGCATTGCTTGATGACATGTACACCCTGCAATGCTTGATAACAGGTAAAATGTTCTAGCTGTGATAACAAAGATTTGGATATTTGCGACTTTCTACAAGTTTTATTTTAAAGGTTAGGATTGCATTTAATTAAATCACCAAACTGACCATATATGTATATATATGTTCCACAATGATAGTTTTTCTTTTAATCTTAAGAAATGGACCCATATTAAATTATAAACTCAAAGGCATACATTCAAATTACAATTTCTTTCTTGCATAAAGTATTAGAAAGTGATTGGAAAGTGGTGTCATTTACACAACAAAAAAATACACTCGCATATTCACTTTTCTCCGACCTCTTCTCTTGCTTCAAGCTCCGCACCTGATTTATCTCCGCACCGCACAAAGTTGACCAATATAATTAATTGGTGATGATCTTATAGCCATAATGCCACAAGGAAAAAAAAAAAAAAAATTATTATACCTAAAACTTGTAGAGTTCAAACACTTTTGAAAGGCACTATGCAATTTATATGACGCTGATACAAACCTAACAGGATTCCACTACCATCAGGGGCAAACCTAAAACTTTATGTAGGAGAGGGCAAGACTGAATTTTGTAATAATTTTAGGATGGCATTAGCAATATTTTAGAGGTATATACAGAAAAAAGAAAAAAATAACATGGTATATTAATAAAAAAAATTAAAAATTCCGGGGGAAAAATAGGTCTGTCCCTGACTACCATCAGTTTGAGAATAACAGTAGGATTAATAAAAATGCTTTAACAATCCCTAAAATGGGTTCTTCAATATTACCAACAGTCCTCAACAAAAACAACAGAGTCAAGCACAAATTTATAGCCCTATGCTGTTCTGGCATGAAATAGAATTACGTAACAACATAACATAAAATACTTCACCTTCAGTTATTGAAGGCGGAGTAAAAAAAAATGTGTGGATTAGTTTTGAGAGACGATAAGAGTGATTCCATTTGCAAACTCAACCACTATCTATTAAACAACTTTTTCACAAGCTTCTCCATATAGAATTAGTTTTTGTAAGATTTGATCTTATTACTTTTCTTCTTCCCATCCATATATAAACATCCTCCTTTGTTAGAAATGTGGCTCCTCACTTACGGAGGGTCTTAGAACTCTCCACCTAAATATATATTTATATATATATATATATATATATATATATATATACATATAGACACACACACATCTAAAATCTTCCTACATCTCTAACATTCTATATATTATTTTTAATTAATCATATTATTAAAATGAAGGCCAAATTCTTATACGATAGAAAAGATTAATGGCATATTTAAAAAATATAAAATGTAAAATTTTTAAATTAGATACTTCAAAAAACACTCTATAAAGTTTCCACAAATAATTTTAATCGTGAGTTTATGATTATATCCCATTTACATCTCTCAACACCCTCAAAACTCAATAAAATCTATCATTGACAAGGACCATTTATTCGCTCCACAATAGTCAATGTTTTACTTGAAGAAGAGTTTTCCTTTTCTATAACAAACATACAAAAATGAAGCACAACCTTGTATGTATTGTGTCAAATGCATAAAAAAGGAACAAAATGTTCCTGAACAGGCCTCAAGTTTGGCTGTTTTTGCCTATAAAAATTAGAGGGCAAATTTAGAGGGAAATAGGAAAGATTTCAAATTGTTGAACCTGGCACAGTGGCATGCAAAGAGCTGTTTGGAAACCATAATACACCAACGTAAAATAAAAAACAAAAAATAAAACATTGTCAATTAACCAATAATGCTACGAGTAAAAGTAGAAGTCTACTTTCCAATTCTCAATTCACCTTATTTTATCCAGTCCCAAATAACATCCATTAACATAAAAAACTTTACATCAACACTATCCCAAACACAAACTACCTGTACACATCATAATAGAGCTAAAAAAAAAAAAAAAAAAAGGACAAAGCAAAACAAGGACTGACTGCATCAAATTTCCTCTTCTTTATTTATATCCAGGAAACGCCACTTGTGCCAATGCGTCACTTCTTTGATTCCATTCAAATAGGGGCAGTAATCCTCTCCATGGCACCTCTCAATGTCCATATACAAATACAATATACCAAAACCATCCTCACCACCGGTCCTCCTTCACCACCACCGCAACCGCCGGCAACACCAGTGCACCACAAAAAAAATTTCCAATCTCCAAAATACCCCTTCTCCCAATTCAACATTTATGCATTTTGTGATGTGATTGGGGTTGAGAATTATGCCACCGATTCCGAAATTGGAGCTGCCGCAGTGGAGCCACGGCGGCCGGTGGTGCTCGTGGATTTGCAGAAGAGCGGATTCCTACTTGTCCACAACTTGATGGCCTGCACCTTCGCCGGATCTCCACCGTCCATTCTATCTCTCAGGAACTCCGGTATCGTCCTTGCTCCTCTTTCTCTCTCTACCCTTACTCCATCGTCATATACACACAGATACATATATACACAGACACATATACACGTACATTACACGCAAGTCTGACTCCGGCGAGCTTCAGTCCAGTCTGACAGAGTCTGGGGTGAGCCGCACCGTGATCTTCTTCACACCCTCTGCCTCAACATCAACTCTCTGCTGTAGTGCTGCGACGTACACCACAAACCACCATCACTACCGGACTGAACAGCACAAACCACCATCGCAGCAAGACTGAACTTCGAGCCACACCATGATCTTCTTCACGCCCTCTGCCTCAACATCAACTCTCTGCTGCGGTCAAGCACCAGGAAGGAGCAAAGGCTGATTTGGGCGAATTCGCCGTCGTTACGAAGAGGAGAGGAACAAACACCAAACACTACCCAAAAATCTGGCCACCAATCACCACCGGTGCTTGTCCCGCCGGTTTTCAGCCATTAGATCCTGGCACCAAACACACCCAAAAAAAAAAATTTACATATATTTGTGATGGATTTGCTTGGTGATTGTGAAAAAATATTTGTGAGGTATATGCGGGCGTAGTTGAGGGGTTGGTCGAGCGCGCGGCGGATGGAAGCGGCGTGGACGAAGTTGGTGTCGAAGTGGCAGAGGCGGAAGGTGAGGTAAGGGAAGGTTGTGAGGATGGTGCGGTGGAGGTCAGTGTGACAGTGGGCAGCGAGGAAGTGGAAGACAATGTACGGATACATAGGTACAGATATATAGGTACAGATTATATACATACATAAGAAGAGTAAATACCATTTTTACCCCTGCCATGTCACCCATTTACTAGCCTCCATGTCAGCAATGGACACCCTCCAGTGAGAGGGTGTCTGGAGACGATTTTTCCCCTTCAAATAGATGTTCTGATTGTCCAATACAATCTATAATAGCTATAGGGATTGCACCACCATGAACATCAATTTCCACGTCTTGGCTTACATATTAGAATTCATGGATTGCATATTAGAAATCGCAAATGTATCAATATTAGATAGTAGAATTCTCAAATTTGCAATAAAAAGAAAATGGAATCGACTCAAAGAAGTGCAATATTAGGCAGTAAGAAAATTGTATTGTAGAGTTTTGTTAGTTTCTTGTCATGATACATGGTTTATGGAAAAAAGAAAAGAAAAAGAAACTAGAAAGCCAATGATCAGTGGCTTAGTTCATAAAGAGAAGAACAAAAGAAGAAAATAAATAAGCACAAAGCATAAAAGCAACAACTTACGAACACTGAAATTCTGTAAGGCATCTTTGCACCAACAACATATGGCAACACTCGTACAATAATTTAATTTCCATCTAAGCACAAAATAATACATCAAGCTCATTAAGAATAGAGTTATTTGGCTTAGTTGATGACTCTCAACAAAACAGTTGCAACTAACATATAGAACTCGAATCCATAACATGAAAAATATATTGCTAACTTCCCTTTACATGAGATAACAGTTTATAGTTTATTGTTGCCATTAAAATAGTAAAATAACTAGCTCTACTACATACTGAGAAAACCAAAAACTGGTAAAAAAAAAATGGAGAATAATAGAAAAGACAAAGAAATTTGAGATAAATAAGTATGTTAAGAAAAATTGATGGTTCCCTAGATGGTAACTTTACTAGAGAGGTCTCACTTAACTCGTCAGCGGATTGGGCACAAAGAAGGGGGTGACCCATGCCATTACTTTTCATTTTCTCATATATATATATATGTTTTTGTGATAGAATGGTGCATACTGCATACGTGTTTAATTGAGCCATAAACTAATATTTCGATTGAAGGGAATGAAATTATCACAATTACATCAGCAAGGGTTTAGGATATCTATGAGGCAGCAGAAGCAACATTCCAAGTTTTGTTTTGTCAGATCAAGTATCACATTTTTGTACACGTAAGCAAAGCACACTTTTACTATTAGAGCGGCTGAAATGAACATGCTACAGGCAAAAGTACAAATAAACTAGTAAAATAGAAGCTAGCACATTACTAGGATTTGAACTGTACCTACCTTGAAGGTTGAATCAGTGGGTGAAGATGGGGGAGAAACAAAAAGCTACAGCAGAAAGTTTACTCTGTGATACAAAACCTACGGACCATGCAACTAATCATATATTGTGCCAATGTCTATTTGCTTGCAAGTTGAATAATACTGATGACAAAGATGTTCACTTTTTATTCCAATACCTAAACCAACATTATGTAACATCAAGTCATCTAAGCAACAACAACAAGAAGAGCTTTGACATATAATTGAATTAGCAGTAAACCAGCACTCATATCATCAACCCATCAACCAAAAGGAGGAGAAGGACAAGAAAAGGCATACCACTGAGACAGCAAAAAAGAACATTCATACTCGCAATCACAAGTTCACCTCAACATGGTAAGACAATTAAAGCACAATTCCTTCCTCCCTAGTGCATGGTATGTCTCTGGGGATTTTAAGGTATCTCATATACTGAAGGTAAAAAAAGGCAAATTGCACAAGCCTATTTAAACCCCTTTGGAATGACAAACATTTTCAGGGTTTAATTAAAATTTTACAATAACCAAATAACCATTTTCAGGCCCACAAAAAGCTCATCCAACGGGCTGGTTGCGAGCCGGCACCAAAATTCCGGCCACGACATCACAAAAACTATAATAGAAATAATAATAATAACAACAGTAATATCATCATCAGCAGCAATAACAAATTAATTATACATCAAGTTATCATTTGCAAATGCTCCAAAAGGTAGGAATTGATAGAAACTAAAGAGTAAAGATAGCAAAGAAGAAGGGCAAATCTTTGAATATATTACCTAAAAGTACTCATTGTTCTAAAAGATAAGCTACGGCAGCAATCTTTGAGTCTGTCCCATTTGGTCACTTATCAATGCACATGTCAAATAAATATCCAACATTTCTATTAAGCGGTCAGAATAATCCCTAAACATGTCTAGTTGAATTAAACTCGCAACAATTTAATGCAGAAAATGAATATATACAAGGGACCAATAATGGCGGGATTCTAGCATCCAAGTTAAGTAAGTCAGCAGTCATAGCTGGATGTCTTTTTCCAAATTTTCATTGGTCTTGTCGTTTGACACAGATGAGACAAGAGACAATGACCATGAAAAATTATTTCTGTGGCACCATGCTCGTAAAGTCTGAAAGGAGTATTCAGTAACAGACTATGTATTTTGGTGCTCAAAATCTTTCCTTTTCTTTCTTAACTTAGTGAAGACAAGAATAAGATCTGCATCTCTTATTTTGAATCATAAAGGTGGAAATAACTCCTTGTTAAGAACAAAATCCTAGTCAACATGACAAAAGGCAATTAACCAAAACATTAGGACCAGTAATCCATGCAGCAAATTTAAGAAGCATGACAAATCCAACACTGCAGTAATACATATTAAGACATGGGGAATTACAAACAATCGAATGACCATTTCATTTGACACTGCTGTAACAGAATGATCCAACACAACAAATGACATGGGGAACACTTAATTGCTAAATATTTATAAGTAACATAACACATCCGACACTGCAGTAATATATATTAAGATGCTAAATCTTTAGAGAATGGATTTCAGATACACCCTATTAAGTTATAAGCAAAGAGCTATCCCACACATATGAAAATAAATAAGTGGAAGAACTATTTCATGGAACCCTGAGAGAGTTATGAAATAAGTATCCAAAAAGGGACTCGATGGCTATTGAACATCAAATGCAAGCATGCCTAGAAAGTGATATCATCTAGCAAAGCAATCAGAGAACTTTGAAGGCTACTGCAATGCAGATTCCACATTGGAATTCAGATTAAGAAATTTCATCATTTTGCTTTGCTTCTAGCAGGGTACTCCAAAAAAATGGCTAGCTAAATTTGAAAAAATAATATGAACAGCAGTAACATTATCACCAGCAACAATATTAATCATGTTAACATTTAAAAGTGCTCCAAAAGGTACATATTGGTGGAAACCAAATCTGGTAGAGAAATGGGCCAACTATTGACGACCATACTTAAAAGTATTTCCTCATTCTAAAAGATAAAATAGAACAGCAGCCTTTGAGTCTCTCCCATGTGACAAAAAGAAATGGTCATTGATCGTGTCAAGAAGTCTATTAAAAAATTAGAATGATCCCTAAACATATCTCATTGAATTAGACTGACAACAAGGATCATTATTAGTGGGACTCTAACATCCAAGTTTAGAAATTTGACAGTCATAGCTGGATGTCTTTTTCCAAATTTTCATTGGTCCTGTCGTATGACACAGATGAGTCAAAAAACAAATGAACGACGAAAAATTATTTCTATGGCACCATGCTCGTATAGTCTGAAAGGATTATACAGTAACAGACTATGTATTTTGGTGCGACAAAAAGCAATTAAACAAAGCATTGGGATCAGTAGTCCAGGCAGCAAATTTAAGTATTTCACATATCTGGAATTACAAATAATCAAATGCCCCAACACAACAAATGACATAAGAGTTGTGAAATAAGCATCCAGAAAGGGACTCGACATCAAATGCAACCATGTTTTAGAAAATAATATCATCTAGCAAAACAATCAGAGAACTTTGAAGGCTACTGCAATGCAGATTCCACATTGGAATTCAGATTGAGAAATTTCATCATTTTGTGTTGCTTCTTAGTCCTTACAGAGTACTCCAAAATGCCAAAAGGAAAACAATTTTTTTATTATTTTTTTAAACCTATAACTTCTGGACTTCAAATACTTGAGCAAGGCATTAAACAATTACAGTATATGGTGCTTATACAAGCCTAATAGGCTCCACACTACCAGCAGTTCAAAAAAAAAAAGGCATACAAAGTCCTACTTCTTAAGAATGAAAACTGGGGAAGCTTTAACAATGCAATGGTGGGTTCTTCTAAGCTCTCAACAATGATCTATGTTTCGTCACTAAAACTGAACAAGAGAGAACCATTAATGAAAGTTCCACACTAGTCTCAGTGATGAGAAAACTAGTCAAATACTTATATCAAGACTCAATCTCAATGGGTATGCATTTACAGATTCATAGATGCATATATCAAAATAGGGAATGAGATTTGGAAATCAAACATGGAAGATCACTGGGTATGTATACATAGATTCATATATTAGTATGCATAAACGAACAGCCTAACCGGGCTCGTTCGAGCACTGGCCGAGTCGAGTTTGATCGAGCTCGAGCATAGCTCGAACACCAAAACTCAGCTCAGCTAGGATCATTTGCAGAGCTTTGACGCAAAGCTTCTGATCATGAGAGACGAGAGGGCATGGCATCATGTGGTCGGCGGATTGGAAATGAGATTAGGGCATCATGACTTTCGGCTTCTGATTAGTTGAATTTATAGAGGGAATATGGGCCAATTTTGTTTGGGTTCATTTTGATATAATGGAATATGGGTTTATTTGGGCTGGACCAAAATATTGTCAAAGGCTGGCAAACGAGCCTAACATTATTCAGGACAAACTAGCCCCATAATAGTGTTCAGGCTCCTGTGCTCGAGTGGGGTCTGAACCTACCTCATACAATTCTCTAATGTTCAAAGCCGTCCAGGCTCCTGTGCTCGAGTGGGGTACGAACCTTCGTCATACAATTCTCTCATGTTCAAAGCGCCGCACAGCCTATGTCACATTTACAACCTGCTCTCGTGTTCAGCGAGCACGCTCTCACGTTCAACTCATATCTTACCCAAATTTAAAATTAAACCTCTAAGAGTAAAGTATATGGACATCCCTTAAGGTTTGAGGTAATGACAAATAAATGAAAGTTAAGCTTATTTTTAGACAACCACACCCCTTGTGAAATTTATTATCCAAACAAACCCTTAAAACATGTGAAAAGTTCATTTTACCCTTCACTAATATATTTTTTTTAATTATAAAATATCAAAATATTTAAATAACTAAATTTCACAAGGGGTGTGGTTGTCTAAAAATAAGCTTAACTTTCATTTATTTGTCATTACCTCAAACAAACCCTTAAAACATGTGAAAAGTCCATTTTACCCTTCACTAATATATTTTTTTTAATTATAAAATATCAAAATATTTAAATAACTAAATTACCCTTTTTATCTCTCTCTATCTCAATATACGTCTATATAAATCTTGTTATCCTTTACCCTTTTAAACAAAGACAGAAAATCAGTTGCAAATCCATTTGAAATGGAAAGAGGATCCTCAAGTTAAAAATATAAGTGGTGAAACAAAAGAACGAAACATTGCTGTTTCGCCTAAATTTGGTTGCCTTAACCAGTACTATCCCAAATTTGGTTGCCTTAACCAATCGAGAGTGTTTGGGAATCCTTTGTTGTTCCGATTATTATGAAAAAGGTGGTCAAGTACTGAGGGCTGCAGTATGAAGCCTAGAGCGAAAGATGAAATCAAGCCACAGACAGGTTTTCTAGATCAAACTTGCAAACAAAAACAGGAACCTTAATAGTTTCGCGACTGAAACTGGGGTTGGTATATCGACTGAATATATATTTATACACACACACACACACACAACAATTACCACCACTCCCAACCCAAACCCGAAAGCTTTGGCCATGACACCACCTCCACACTTTCCAACCACCAGCCGATGAGCGGCTCACCATCTTCAACAGCAATTGATGTTTCGCTAGCTGCAAGGCTCTGTTGCGGTCGATCTGTGGGTACAGATTTGATCGAGCTCCATTTTTTCTGGGCTCTGTTGCTGTGAAGAATCCGTCGCCGTCTTGAAGCCATCATCTCGTCTCACATTGTCGTCGCAGTCTTGAAGCCACCGTCTCACATCGCCGCTGTCGTCTTGAAGCCACCGTCTCACATCGTCGTCATGGGTTAGGTCAAGATCAGGCTCCAATTTTGAGCGCCGTCGTGGGTTAGATCAAGATCGGGCTCCAATTTTCGGCAGTTCTGTCTTCCTTACTCGTCACCGTGATAAATTGATGATGATGATATTGAGGGATGATGGTGATACATGTGTGTGTGTGATTTGTGGTAGTGGTGATGATATATGTAAATGAGTGTATGTGCCGTTTGTCTATACATATATTAGTAGTTGTTTGAGTTAGGGTTTGAGAGAAAGAGAAAAGAGAAGAAGAGGGTAAGGACATTTAAGCCAATTGTATTTGTCAATTTTATATTAAAGGATAATAAAGTTAATTTATTATTGTTGGGTGTCTTTGTCTATTTTATCAAACTTGAACGGGTGTAATTGTTCAAAAATAAGATAATTTTTATCTATCTGTCCTTATGCCAAACCTGAGGGGGTGTTATTGTACTTTACTCAACCTTTAAATATGCTCTACAATAAACAGGTAAAATATTGGAGCTGTGAAAACACGGATTTGGATTTCTACAAGTTATTTTAAAAGGTTATGACTATATCAAATTAAAAACCTTTCAATGCACTCAAAATCAAACCATACTTCATAAAACCTTATATATATATTTTTGAAAGTAATGGCAATATGTATGTTCCACAATAAGCACTAATGGATAATGAAATCTAGATGTGAGCACCTTTCTCTATCTCTCTCTTTTTCTTTTTTTTTTTTTCATTTTTTGTTGTGATAACTTTGAAAATAATTTGTATAGTACTTTATTTTCAAAAAAACAAATAACAAAAAATAAAAAGAAAAAAATTGTAACGAATGAGATCAAAAAATTCTAGTACTAACTAAGTTCTAGTACTAATGGATAATGAAACCTAGATGTGAGCACCATTCTCTCTCTCTCTCTCTCTCTCTTTTGTTTTTTTTTTTTGTTTTTGGTGATAACTCTCAAAATAAGATATATAGTAATTTTTTCTCAAAAAAGTAAAAAATAAAAAGAAATAAATTATAATGAGTGAGATCAAAAAATTAATAAATTTAATATAAAAATATTTATTTATTTATATTCAAAATTTAAAATAATTTGACAATTTATATTAAAAAATATATGAGTAATTGGGTTATATCTAAAGACTCACTTTTCTTAATATCTAGTAACTCACAAGGTTGACTATAGTCTATACAAGTACCTAATCCCATTAATGATTTAAATTTGCAAGAATGGACAATCTCCCAACATTGTTTTGAGCTGGATCTGAAATGGGCAATGTTGGTTTTCAACTGGTTGGAGACCATACCACCAGCTGTCATAGAGCAATTGAGGGTTTAGGGCAAGTGGTATAGTGCTAACAATACAGGCTAGCAAAGCTTTGTTAGATTGCTAGCCACATCAACAATTGTATTGATGTGGTTAGCAACAGTATATTGTTATCTTTCAGGCACGGTATAGGTTAATTGATATCTATTATTTTATTATTTTTTGTTATACTTTTTTTAATACATTTAATATTTTGAGTAAAAAAAATTAAAAACATATTTATTTTTTTGTTTGCTTGTATTTTATAAAACGGCTACTTTTTCAACCACTTGAATTTTTTTTTTATTATTATATATTGCTATCTTTTAGTCACGGTATGGGTTAATTGATGTTTATTATTTTATTATTTTTGCTTGTATTTTTTAAAACGACTACTTTTTCAACCACTTGAAATTTTTTTTATTATATATTTGAATAGAATACTTCTTTTAATACATTTAAATTAATATATTTTCTCATAATTAAATAAATCAAAAATACATTACATATTTTCTCACAATTACATAAATAAAATAAATAAAAAGACCTTACATATTTTCTCCCAATTACATAAATAAAATAAAAAAAGACATTACATATTTTCTCACAATTAAATAAATAAAATAAAAAGACATTGCATATTTTCTCACAAATATAAATAAATTACATATGACCACCACCTTTATTTAGTTTATTTAAGATTTGATTTTGTTGTTGAATGATCCATGCCTTTAATGCGTCTGTTGGAGCCTTCGATGGATCTTGACGCATTATATCTCTTTCAAACTCCATTTTAGCCATCGTTTCTCTTGTTTTTATTTCTAACTGTTTAGTCCGTTCTTTCTCCAAATTTGATTCTATCGCCAGCTGCTTAGTCCGTTGTTTCTCCATGGAAAGTTGAAGTCTCATTCGCTCTCCTTCCACACCTGCTTCACCAAACATGACGCCTTGTGCTATTACAGCTTCCAATTGTTTAAGAATACTTGCTTCAAGAGATAGCGTTTTCTTTTTACGAATCTTCCTTACTTTTTGTCCCTCGGGACGTGACATATTCGAACCTTCGATATCGACTGGTGTATCGTCATCACCAAGATTTACCGACCCTGGAGTTGATACTGTAGGAGTTGATGAACCTGGTGTTGTTGGAGTCGATTCCGACCAATTTCTTGGCTCATTAATATCAAGATCAACACCTCTTTTCATTGGTCGTCTAGTTGGATTTTCGTTAACGTTGCAATGCATCTGCCATTTTTTCGAATCCCAAGAACATTCCAACATTAATGCTCGTATTTAATTTTTTTTTCTGTTACAGTTTATATAGTTCTCTAACAGCATTCATCTATAAAAAATAAATAATCATTGAAATTAATAAGTTGGATTAAAATTAAGAATAAAAAATATTGTACAAAGTAAAAACTTACCATATCATACTCGTTGTAACCACTGATTGGTTTGTCGTGGACATTTTTGTAGTATCCTGAAAATTTGTTTACATCACGTTGAAAGTTTGAAAAACGGTTCATCAGAGCACCGTATGATCTTTCTTCAGTTATCTTGTCTCCCAATTGCCTAACCCAATGAGCTTGAATTCGTTGCCACAATGTAGCCATACTTTGATCTGTACTCGTCACTGGATCTTCACCAATCATGATCCATGCTTTGCACAATGCTATATCTTCTTCTTCGGACCAATTCCCATCCTTTTTCTTTGAGGGTGGCTTTGATTGAGAAGGTTGAGAGGAATTTTGGAATTGAGGGGTTATTGAGATGGATTTGAAATTGAGATGTATAAGGGTGACAAAATGGATTTTGAAATTGAGGTGTGTATTCTGGATAAATTTGGTTTTGGAATTGGGGCTAAGATGTATATTCAGAATGGATTGGATCTTGGGAGTGCCACCCAGAATTGAAGTGAGATGGTATTTCAAAGTTTCCATATTGGTTAAAATGATGGTTGTTGAATGGAGGTCGTTGATCCATTGAATGTCGAAGGATGATGATTTAGTGAAATGAATGTTGAAGGATGAGAGAAATGAGTGTTGAATGATGAGTATTGAGTGAAATGAGTGTTGTATTTATAGAGATTGTTGTATACCCAACGGCTATATTTTCAACAGCTATATTCCCAACAGCTATATTCCAACGGTTATATTCCCAACGGCTATATTCCAACAGCTATATAAACCACTAATTTAGTCTTTTGTAATTGCTCAAGTCCATTTTCTTTTCCTTCATTCCTTAAGTCCATATTTTCTCTTATTTGATTCCTCTACCACTTTTTCTCTTCTCTGAATTCTCAACTTTTATATAAGAAAAAAACTGGCATCATCATCACAATCTTTTCAAATCTTCGAATCTGATTCTTTAGAAAATTCGTCAGATTCTGATCGGGAGATGGTTTATCAATTCCATCAAAAAAAGGATCAAAACAATTATGGGTATTTTTACGCCTGAGAATCTAAAAGCATTATTTAAACCAAAGAAAAGACGATATATTAAACGTGATCGGGAGGATGCAGCACAACAACTCTGGAAAGATTACTTCGCCGAAAATCCTGTGTTTCCACCTGAATACTTTCGTAGACGGTTTAGAATGCGACGACAGTTGTTTCTTCGTATTTTGAATGATATTACAACTCATGACAACTTCTTCAAACAGAAGCCCGATGCTACTGGTCGTATGGGGGTGCACCCCTATATAGAAGATGACAGTAGCAATACGTATACTTGCCTATGGAATTTCAGCGGATCTTTGTGATAAGTACATAAAGGTTGGAGAACGCACTGTAATTGAAAGCTTGAAGAGATTTTGTGATGCTGTAATTGTATTGTATGCAGAGCAGTACCTATGCTCGTCAAACGAAAGCGACATTGCACATTTACTTCAAGAAGGGGAAGAAAGAGGATTCCCAAGTATGCTTGGCTGTATAGATTGTATGCATTGGGAATGGAAGAATTGCCCTAAAAGGTGGCATGGCACACACAAGGGGAGAGGTCGTAAGCCTACCCTCATATTGGAGGCGATTGCATCAAAAAATCTATGGATTTGGCATGCTTTCTTTGGTATGGCTGGTTTACACATTGACGTGAATGTCTTAGATCATTCCCCAGTATTCAATCGTATCATTAATGGTATAATACCTCCAGTTAATTACGAGATGAATGGACATCACCGTACGTTGGGGTATTACCTATCTGATGGTATATACCCTAAGTGGGCAGCTTTGATTCAAACCATCCCGCACCCAACTACTGAAAAAGATAAATTGTTTGCTCAAAGACAAGAAGCCGTTAGGAAGGATGTTGAACGGGCATTTGGTGTGTTGCAGATAAGGTGGGTTATAACGCATGGACCAATATATTATTGGAAGAAAGAAGACCTGAGCAAGATAATGAGAACGTGCATCATATTGCACAACATGATCATAGAAAACGAGGGCGACACTAACATTTTGGAATGGACACCTCCAACAGATGAGTCGGTCTACCTTCCACAGTACAATCGAGACCGATCATTTTTGGCAGCACACATCTCCACTCGCCTCAGCAGGATTCGCAATGTAGAAAACAATGGAGATCTCAGGAGAGATCTTATGGAGCATTTGTGAAATAAATTTGGCAATGAAGAGGTTTAACAATAATATTGAGTAAGATGTATTTCTTCATATTGTATGTTTCTGATGAATAAAATATTACTTTACAATTTTTTTTTCTTATATATTTGTTGACAAATTTTAAAGAAAAAAAAAATCAAAATCATAAAATAAAAAAATTTACAATAAAATTAAATTACATATAAAAGGAAATAGTAAAGAAAAAAAAAAAAGAAAAAGAAGAAGCCATTTCTAACAATATGATTTTTTGTTTTAAAAAATTCATATATATTTGTTGACAAATTTTGAAATCATAAATTTTTATTTCAAAATAAAAAATAAAATAAAATAATCAAAATCATAAATTTATTTTTTACAATAAAAATAAATTACATATAAAAAGACATAGTAAAGAAAAAAACCAAAAAAAAAAAAAAAAGAAAAAAAAAAAGGGAAAACAGCCAAGCAGTTGTGGGCCAAAGAAAAACAAAACAAAAAAACAAAACAAAAAAAAAAAAAAAAAAGAAAAGGGAAAAGAGCCGTTGCTGCAGCAGGTGAGGCCTTGTTTGGCTCGCAATACTATTGTTAGCAGTTGCGATGTAATTTGTTAGTCTTCCTCTGGGTCCCATAAATTGCTAGCCTTATACCAATTCAAACACTAGTAATACTGACTCCCTAGCTAGCAATAAAGCCCTTGTACCGGTTGCTCTTAATCTTATTCACAATCACTAAACAAGACCAACACTTGTGATGGTGTAGGATAGGGTTTACTCTCACGGTACAATGACATTTGGCATTATTCCTATAATATTGACATGAGTTACTAGTTGTGATTTCCTCGTGTAAGGTTGTAGAGACTTCGACAAGTACTCTTTGCATCTGCCACGTACTTTTCTTACTCTTTACATTTGCCATGTTATACTTACTCTCGCGGTACAATCACATATGGCATTATTTTTGTGACGTTCTGAATTTTCACAACCCGGATAAGTCAAATGCGACTCGAAAGTTGACCAGATAATGAATTCGGAATGCGGAAGCGGAAACAAGAACAAATGCGGAAGCGAAGTTTTAAAAATGGATCAGTTTAGCCCTAGGGGAAAAATCATAATTTTTAGAAAGTTATGAATGCTACCGAGCACACCATTGGATAGACGGCGAAAAATTAATAAAGTTAGACTCAAAAATCACTTAATTCGAAATCCGGATGGAGGAGAAAAGTTGAAACGAAGATTGGACGTCGCCGCGGCCGTGAATAGTGTTTTGACAGCATGAATATTGCTGGGCAAAAAAAATGTTGAAACATGGTGCCATTTTAAGGTACTAAACGACGTTTTTTGAAAAAACACGAAGAAGAAACCCCCTTTAAAATAACTTCTCCAAGCTGACCATGTCGAAAGAAAATTTTATTTTTGACATAAAATTCCCAAAATACCCTTAAGATCACATTTTTTTTTTTCCTTGATGAAGTGCGCACTAGGAAATCAGATTTGATGAAGGGTTTTGGAGGCCGAGACGACATTTTTTTGGAAAAAAGTTATGAAGAAACCCCCCCTAAAATCACATTTTCTAAGTGAACATGTCAAGACCAGAATTTATTTTCAAACAAAAAACCCCAAGATGCCGCTAAACCAGATTTTGCGAAAAATGTAAAAAAAAATGAGAGCAACCAAGTGTTCAAATGACTAAATATGAAATTATGGGTTAAAAAGATTGTGCACGCAAACGTAATAAGTGTTTTGAAGCTTGTGTGAATGGTCCATGACCCCCAATTATGCTCAATGCAAAATCTAACATATTAAACTTCAAAAATGCCTTAAAATGAAAAATTTGAAGCCTACCATCAACCATAACATACAACCATGATATTTTGTGCAATGTGATCATTCTAGCAAGTGTAATATATATAATAAAATGCGTCTCAATGGCCCATGGCGTCAAAATACACTATATACAAAATATGACATGTCCAAGCTCCAAAATCATGAAAAATAATCATTTTAAGCGAAATTTGAAGTCAACCATCATTGATGCATTCAAAGAATTGTTTGGCCCATGACCACACGTCATATATGATATAAGAACACTATGAAAAATGATAAAACACAATTCCCACCATCCAAGCTGAAATTGTCATGCTAAAGTTTCGCATTTTTCAATTTTTCTCATTTTTAAGCATAATATCAAATAGCATAAAAGTGAAGAATAAGGTCATTGACCATTGGCCTCATCACATACATGTCAAATACATCACAAAAGGTGTACTTATGTACACATTACATTTTTAGAACCAAATATACAAGTTTTGACATTTTAAACTAAAAATAGCATTTCATGCTAACATTTCCATGAATCAAATACTTCAAGTTTACCAATCATCCAAGACATAATGCAAATCCTGAATCTTGATTCTTGTACCTAAAAAATGTCCTCACTACGTGGGTGAGTAACATAAAGTTACTCGTAGGAAATGAATATGCGTATAACCTAAAGTTTTGCAAATCTTTATAAGTTGATATAAATCAATCCATGTGTTGCATGCCACCTAATGTCTATGTCCAAGGTGAGACTAAGGGATCATCCTTAGCTATATTACAACATCCCAATCATAAGCCACAATAAATAAGCAATTAAATAACATGAAACTTCAAATACCAAATAACAAAATATAAATTTACAAAGTAAGCAACTTGGAATTGAAATGCGAAATCAAACAAGTGGAGACTTGGACGTTAAGCCGGAATAAAACTGGACCCAAACATCATTTGGGTTACTAGCCCGTGGGTGCTTGCTTTTTAAGTGCACACTATAAAATAGAGGGCTCCTTCTGTCCCCCGTACTAGAGTCGTGCCCTAGCCATGGTCATTCTTACGACATCCAAAGTTTTCAAAATCAACAAGTTGTGCACAATAAGTATATACACATATACCAAATGCACATAATCAAATATCATACACAATCAATTCGTGGGAACACACAAGACATGTCCTAAGTCCTCAACTATCATGACATGTAACATAATAAGCCTTGAAAAGATCAAAGGTGCAAATAAATCATAATTTCATTAAATGGAAGCTAATAAAATAAAAATTAATTAACTCCTCTAGGTTGCAAAACATCACCAAATAACATGAAATTAACACATAATAAGCAACATATCATAAATAACTCAAATATCAAATCAAAAGTCTAATTAAGCCACTAAAACACTTAAATAATTTTTAATCAACTTAATTGATTAAAAATCTTTAAATCTCAAAAGTCATCCAAAAATTCGAAAAATAATATATGATGAACTACAAGTCATGGACTCTCCAAATATCATATTATTAATTAAATCTAAGAATGCTTCAACTATGAAATTAAATCATCATTTAATTAAAAGAAAAACTATTTCTAAATCTAAACTTTAAACATGCATATAAGTTATATAAACCTCATAAACATATAAAACACTAAGATTATAAACATGAAACACCCCTACCTCACTTGAGATGAAAATCTCAAATCCCACCAAAATTGAACTCCATAAAATGTGATGAAACTTCGGAGTTTTGATGGAAACAACAAGGAGAGCAAGAATCCTTAAGTGAGAAGATCTAAATCCAAGCTTGAACTCTCAGCCCAAAAATCAAAGTGCTGCAAATCGGAAACCGATCGGATAGAAATGATCGCGTCGTCGAGGAGATCAAAAAAGTATAAACCACGAAGATAAAATTCAAAGAGGAAATAGATGAAAAGAGGAGAGAGAATGGGCAGCCTCTAAGCTCTAGAATGGTGGCTGCTGCTGCTATTTTAGGAAATAAAAAGTTAGTGAAACTTTCTCTCTCATCCGCTAATCCTAAATAGGTCAAAAAGGTATCCCGAACAGTCCGAACAGGCCCCATCCCAGTCCAAAAAGTGAAATTAGTGAAGACGCGTTCAAATGCCGATGGTCCATGAACAAAAAAGTTTTGGAATGGAATTCTAAGGTCAACGGAAGAAACAAGGTCAAAAATCGAGTCCCGAGCGAGGAGATATAGCCCAGACAAGATTGACGATTAGCGGGGTTCGAAAATTCAAAATAAATGAAATAAAAATCTAAAAAATATTTCGGAAGTGCCAGAGTCCATAAAAAGTGAAAATAAACCTCTCATGAAAGTTTGAACCCAAAATGAGAAATTTTTCTAAATTTTTTTCATAATTACATAAATGCCCCCCACTGAATAACTCAAAAAGTGAATTTCTCAGAAAGCCCAAAATGAAGTGTCATTCAAAAGATACATTTAAAAGAATCTTAAATACAAAATTTTATCGAAATATAATTACGAAAAACACCCAAAGTAAAGAAAATAATTTTCAAGAATCTTTACAATTATACCTCTACGGACAAAAGTAAACATCTAGCATACTTTTCTACAAAAGTAAAAATGTGGATCATATAGAAATCAAGTTAAATGAATGCATGTAAGGTCAGAATCAAATCCGAGCACGACCCGATAAGTTACGCAAAATGAAAAGATAGTGAAAAGTGACTGAAAAAGAAAACTCGAAAAAAGAAATCAACAGAAAAAAAAAAAAAATTTATTCGTAAATTTGATAGAATGGAAAGAAAGAAAAATGACCGAGTCATTACAATTTTTATAATACTAACGTGTTGTGGCTTCTTGTAAAGTTGTAGAGACTTTGACGAGTTTCTCGAACCCTATCAATACGAGTTTCTGAAAGGATGTAGATAAATTTATAGGATTATCTAGTTTATTTAGTGAGCTTATAAAATATTATAGATAATTAAAAATTTATCAATTGAATTTCTTTCAACAAGTTTCTGTAACTTTATAGAAAACTATAAAATTATCTACGTATTGGTGACATATATAGTGACTTTTCTTCACAAGTTTTTTTAAGGACATAAAAAATTATCGATTTTCTTCCACAAGTTTCAATAAGATTATAGAGAATTACGAATATGTATAGAATTATTGATTTCTTAAAATGTCTCTTTCTGTAACGTCACTTTTTTCCACAAATTTCTGAAAAGTTATAGAGAATTATAAAATTAACTAGTTTTGTTTTTTTTACAAGATTATAGAGGATTATAGAATTATTCATTTTCTTTCAACGAGTTTCTTGAGGGTTTATGGAGAGTTGTAGGATTTATTTCGACTAATTCATTCGTCTAATTTATATTTTTGTTTCTTAATTATCCGAAACTAAATCTTTAATTACCCTATACAATGCTGATTGTTCGATGATGGTAAAATTCTCAAGCTGTGTTAACACAGATTTGGATCTTCAAACTTTTTACAAATTAATTCAAAGCTTAGGATTATATCTCTAATTAATATCTTTCAAAGCTCTCGAAATGAAACTATACTTAGATATTGACCATATATATGCTCCAAAATCATCCATGTTTTATCAATATATTCAAATTCCGTAAGTAATTGAGACAAAAAGGTACCACCACTTTCTTAATGCCTGTAATTATAACACCAAATCTTTTATGAAAAGATCAATCCATAAGCTTGGCTATACATGTATTTCAAATCATTAACAGTAAAAGCCTTCAACGTTCAAATTTCTTTTTTGCATACAATATTTGGAAAGAGGTGTCACACCATCCTCGAAATATTGATGAATTTCAACCGTTTGATTGCATCACCCAATGCTCCCACTTCTATGTCCAGCAAAATCTACTAATGCAAACTTGTTCCAGAAACTCATTAGGAACTTTGAACATGTCAATACAATCAGGACGGCTTTTCACCACATTAACATTGAAATCAAATTAATGATACAGTAACAACAACAATAATAATAACAAATTAATGATAATTAGAATTACATAACAACACACCATAAATACTATCCGAGTATATAAATCTTTTGTTTCTCGTATCAGCACAATCAACTTTACTGACCTAAACATCAAATTTGAATTACTAACTGTGTCTGAAAATGTTAGTAGCAATTAACAAGAGAACTCTACCATCAATTATACCAGTCAATCCGTAAGAGGCTATTGAGCTGCTGGTCTGTTCATTGACCTAAGCAGCTTTTGGCACCTTCACCCTGTAAGCACGTTGAATTCCAAGACAAATTCTCAACTGGCCAAAAGTGAAGGTATATAAAACTATAAATAAATAAATAAAAGCACAAAAATATCTCACTTTGAGCTCTGGAAATTGAATAAAACCAACTGGGTAGTTGCACAATGCAAGCAACAACAGTATGTTGATGCCGATCAAGAGTTTGGATTATCAAATATGGTGTTCCAACCGTGCTTGTGTATAGACCTTTAAAACGACGACGCAAAAAATCATAGTCATGCCCATCAACAGTTTGGATTCTGATCAAGCCATCGTGTTTTAATGGAGTACATAACCAGAGCTATATGATTTTTGGCGTGAGGCTTCAAAGTTCTATACACATGTATGACGTCTTCGAGGTAAAGAACATATTCACTTGGACTTGCTCAGTAAAACACAACACTAAAAAGACTAAGATTTGTATCCCAATGCCTAAAATAAGATCGTAAAGAGTGAGCGAGCAGCTTGATAGAAACAACAAATTTTTGAACTTTGGAAAGGCAAACTCAAACTATGTTTAACCAAAGTAATCAACAAACAACTGTGGATATACTAATGTTAATTTAGCACCCAAATTTATATTTACATATCTGGTGAGCGCTCTATGTTATATTAATATAATGGAAACGTAATAAAATATGTATATATAGCATATATGGAAGAGATAACCTAGATGACACCATCGCTCTGTTTTAACCTTGATGACACCTTCGCTCGATTTGTTTTTATAGATAATTATATGTGTTTCGTTCGACGAGTATCTACAGGGTTACAGAAACACTATCTGAAATGATATAAAATATCTGAAAGGTTATAGAAACAGGATCTAGAAGTTTATAGAAAATGGTCTGTAGGCGTTTTATTCAATGAAATGAGTTTCTGATTGACGAGTATCTAGAAAGTTACATAAATCCTATCGGAATAATATAAAATATCTGAAAGGTTATACAAATGGGATCTAGAAGGATATAGAAAATGGTCTGTAGGCGTTTAGTTCAATAACTCTCTCAACGTGGTAGAAACAGTACGTATTTAGAAGGTCACATCTAATTCTACAAGTTTCTTTAATGTTATATAGAATGATTGGAATGATTAGGAGTGGTATTTTTTTTTAATTATAAAAAAACTTAAACTTTTTCATATTTTTTATATCTTATCTTTTTATTTATAATTATAAAAAAAGGTTTTATTCTCAATTGTTTGAGTCACTCCTCAAAATGTTATACTGATTTTCCTTTTTTATATACCTATTAAAAATTTAAAATTACATCCGCTAAAATTAAAATATCTCCTTAATCTCATCTCAAATAATTTTTTTAGGTCACCTTCACTCCAACATTTTGGAGTTTCAAATGTCACTCTGGCCAATATACATACATCTTTCACTTTGATATTAACCGTGGAGATTTAGTTACGATATATATATATATATACATATATATATATATATATATATATAAAGTATTTACAAATTCTCCAATCCTTTTAGAATCTTTTCCAATACACCAATTTTCGTCTATTCTTCAATGTTACAGAATAACCATATCCCACTGTAAAACATTGGATACTGTCTTATTATTTTAAAAATATTTTATATTATTAAATTGAAAATATATAAGGTATATAACTTAAATTATGTTATACTCCTGCATGGATACGAGAGAAAAAAGATCCACTCATAGACTATATTTTAATTAATTATCTTAATGAAGTTATTTGATAATTATTCATGAAATGTGTTATATATTATCATCAAATAGGATTATAAAAGGGAAAAAGGAAAGAAATCAACTTGAACAAAATATTCAAGAACAAGAGGATGGCGAGGCGGAAGTTAACAGGTTTCAAAAATTATGCAGCTTCCCCAAGATCAAGGATGCAATTCTCATAGCAATACGGAGCATCATATTTCGGAATTAGGCTAGTTTTCACACTTTAAATCCATCTGTGCTTTGTATTATTTCATCAAAAATAATCTAACATAATTCAGAATTGCAATAATACAAAGAAATTTCTCTCACAAAGTACAGTGAAATTTTCAAACCAAGTTTATGAAATTCATCGTCTAAACAATAAAAAATCAATATTCACCGTCTCCCTCTTAAGTAAGAGTATTTTGTTCATTTAAGTGATTCTGCCTCTGCCCAAAAGATGCAAAGAAACTCTGTGCAAATCGCCAAAACCATAACAGCATTCATATATAACTCCAGATCTTATAAACAAATTTGCAATTTTTTTTTTTTTTTTTTTTTTTACTATCCAGTACAAGAAATGATACCCTTCCTTTTTTTTTTTTTTTTTCCCCTAATAAAAGAAGCAATCTTGGGAATATACAGTAACAAATTTTGTGCAGGCTAAGCAACTTATGAAGAACACACCCAACCAATCTGAAATGGTACAAACAATATTTGGAAGAACACGATGCATGTGCTAAACTGGAAAGTTTCCCGGCGGTATGGAAGTGAAGAATCATTAACCATCAAGCGCGTCAGAGAGGAGAGGTTTCTTGTTAATCATATATGTTGCTAACACCGAGAGAAGTAAAACAATAAACGCCATGAATATACACATTCGATTATGTTGCCCTTCCTCTACCGTCCCATCTGCTTCAAGTTCCGGAACCATATTTGTGGCATCATTTGCAGAAACAGAAGATTCCACTTCAGTCACACACGCAGATGCATCTTTTGGTGATACATCCACCTGATTCAAATCATTTATAACTGATGTTTAGAATCATGATATACAGTCACATACAGAAAAAGTTTGTCTGTCTGCCAAAAATGCTCGCTCACAAAGGTAAAAGAAATTGTCAACATTATAAATTTCTGAAAGTAAATGCTCCATTAGTTTTGTAACAAGGTTTTTTGTGATATTAAAATTTCCAGTTTAATCCCGAACATTGCAGTGAAAAATAACATGCAGCAAGTTATATCATAAGAAATATTGACTTAAAGAGAGTAAAAATTGAATTTGTTGACAAGCTTATTTTTGAATGACTTTCGTTTTTCAGTTTTGCTGAGCTCCAACTATCAAATCATGGTTGGTAATTGAGAAGGCAGCGAAAGAACAGTTGATCTACGCTCATCAAATGGCAGCATATTTTGATTATGTCATTGATGGAAGATTTAAGTAGATGATTAACAGTGCATCAGTTTTTTGAACCCCATGTGCTGGAACTATTGTAATAGGTTGATTGCTTAGAATTACAAAGCACCAATTAGACCTACATACGATATGCTGCTAGGTAACAGGAAAACCATTTGCCACTAATTTCAAATACATACAATGGGTAGATAGCTCAAAATTGCTAGCATGATATGAGTGTCTTTTTTTTTTTTTTTTTTCCATCCTAAGGTAGACAAGAAACAAAAAGAAGAGCAAAAGACAGTTATTCTAAACAGCAAAACTTGGAAGCAAAAGAGAAGCCTGAGTTAACACCCATTCAGCAGTATCATTGCGTTAAACTCTAGGGTTACTTCTTTGCAGTGTTTGAACTAAGCTATGAAACGGAGCACAGAATTACAGGAATGAAGGTTGTTTTTAAGTCAAACCAGAAACCAAAAGGAAATAAACTGCAAGACAAAGAACAGAAAAAGGGCAAAAAAATAATGGTAGGAGAATCTGCAAAACAGAGAATTCATTTAACAAATGCTAGATGGCAAAACAAACAAATCTGGTCCAGTCAGTTGCAATGTTATAGGATTTGGGATATAGAAAGAGATTATACACTGTTATTATAATTTGTTGAACTCCAGAAATTATCAATCTATGATATCTTTGTCAGCGGTATCATCAATCTTAAAGTCATTACAACCACTTCAATGTAATCAAACACATACTCATGAATAATGACTAATGAGTTAAGCTTATTGCTTGTTTGATGGTGCTTACGTATGCTCAACTGCTTCTACAAATTACTCTCATCCCAAAATTATCTATCATAGTCAGAGTAGTAGCTATTATCTGTTTGTAGGTACTACCGTCCGCTGATGCATTTCTTGATGGAAGAAGAATTCCTTTTGGACATTAATTGGTGAGGCCCTCAAAGGCTTCACACAGCTTTGTTTTATTGTATGTGGTCTCTCTTCTCTAGGCAGGAAATTGAATGTGTTAAGCCTGATCTTATCATTTAGATCACATTAAAGAAGTCGAGTCCGTTACTAGTAATCGGGGCTGGGGATCAGGCAGACATAACATCGATGCCTCTCCCTCTCTCTCTATCTCTATCTCTCTCATGCACATACACACACAAATTTCTACATCCACTGTCACAGAAAATAAGAAAAGAAATAGTAGCACTAACCTGGAAATTTCTAGATGATGATTCAGTTGGTGCTTCCTCAAATGGTTTTGTGCTAGTAGCATTAGACGAATCATGCTTAGAAGAAAGGAACTCGTCATCATCAGCACCTAAATTCTCATCCAGACTTGCAAATATATCACCTTTTGTTTTCTGTAACTTCTCCACCAAAATTTTGTTTTCGACGGTTAAAGAATATAACTGCACCAAAATCAAATCCAGTAAGTTTTTAGATTAGATGAGCCGATATATCAGTTCCCTTATTCTAAAAACAAAAAAGCACAAAGTCAAAAATGGCAAGGAAGTCTCCGGCTACTGAATTAAATTGGAAAGAGCAAGATAGAAAAGGGGCAAGTAATAGGTGCATGCCAAGTTTGAATCAAGGAGATGGTGAAGTAAATACCTGCTTCTTGACGCGCTCCCTTTCAATGGCTAGTTGCATAACCATGTCCATAATAAACTTGGTCTTAACATTAATGTCCTTTGCAATTGTTGCTTTTGCATCTTCAGCTTGCTGCAAGGATGTCTCCAAAGATTCTATTCTTGTCCTCATGAAACTTAGTTCATTGTTAAGCTCTAAGTTTGTTTCAGTTAATACAACACATTGCTCCTCCGCATTCTCAGCCTTGATATCAGCTTTTGAAACCTTTGATTTCAGTTCCTCAATTAAAGTTTCCATATCCCATATTGCAGAATACAACATATTCTGTTGCTCTTGACTTGCTTCAGAGGATGCCCTTGCATGTTGTAGTTGAATTTCTAATTCCCTCAACTGCTTCTCGAGTAAGCTAACCTTCTTTGTGTCACTATCATTATTATTTTTAAGAAAACCCAGCTCTTCCGTAAGTTCCACATTTGTGTCTGTTAGCCGTGTAATCTTAGCCTCTGCAGTTTGCACTCTACTTTCTGCAATATAAATGTTTTCTTTCAGAGAATCAACCATATGGTCCATCTCTCTAAGTTGTTCTTGATTGGCTTCAATGGAGGCATTTGCATTCTTCAGCTGAAACTCAGATTTTTTCAGTTGTTCTTCAAGCAATTTAACTCTCTCCCTCAAAGAGCATACTTCAGAATTTTCAGCAATAAGCTCTGAAATGCGGCTCTCAAGCTTTTTAAAAGTATTTTCTCTGCTTTTGAGCTGCTCTAGGCAAACAAAGAGCTTAGAGTTTGCCTCATCTTCCCGCTGACATGAACCATTTAAATTGAATTGAACAATTTGAAGTCGACCAACCAGTTCCTTTGAAGTCCCCATCAGCACCTCTGCTGCATTTTCTGCTTCTAAAAACCTTCCCCAAACAACCTCTGCTGCCTCTTCCATACACAAAGCTACTTGTTCAGTTAAACGTACCTTTAATTTCAGATCTTCTTCATTTTGTTTTGAATCTGACAACTTCTTCTCGAGATGTAGCTCTCTTCCAAGAGATTTCTCCAGCATCCTTAGTATATGCCTTTGTTGATCAACAGTCTGCAATTTTGGCTTCATAACAACATTTGCAACTTGACCGTTTTCTGATAACCCCAGAAGGCTGTCATATTTCCCTGTTAACATGCATGTGTCAGAAAACTACTCATTCATCACACTATATAATTAAGAGTAAACTGGTTCTTTATTGGACAAAATTTAATTACTTACAATCATTATGAATAAAATTGAAAAGTCTTCTTTGCAGCTTGCTTAAGTGCATCTTGATCTCAAACACCTCCTCCTTTGACTTCTTCAATGATTCTTCAGAATCGTGTAACTTGACTTCCATTACAATAAACAACTCTCTCAAGTGTCTGCAAGAAGTTATTTTCTGATGGGCATCAACAATCACTGCTTGGAGAGTACGCATGAAATTGTCTAGATCTCTTACCTCAGAATCTAGAATAGCAGATAACAAATCAAATAACAATGCCTTCTCCATAAGATCTTCCGAGCTATTATCAATTTCCGCGGCAATTGCTTCGAGAGCATTTTCAGAAGACATCACATGCATCAAAAGTGTATCCAAATTTGCCAACTTCTCAGAAGAATATGCCAAGTCTAAGTCCACTCTAGTTAGAAGTTCCATGATACTCTCTATTTCTCCTGTATCCTTAGCATCCGATGTGTCACCTTCATGTGTGTAAAATTTGCCCAACTCTGTATCATCATCAACATTATGAGCAGTATAGTCATCCATTCCTGTTGTTATCTTGTTCTGGCTTGCAACCTGAGAAACGAAAATAAAAATATATAGAAAAAAGAAATTCCAACTTTCCAAGCACCTAATTTACTTTTTCAACACAATTAGAAATATAACAATGCCCAAAAAGAGTGAAAACAAATAGTGAAGAGTTGCCCTTAATCTCCACCCCAATCTCTCCACCAAAGAAAAGGGAAAAGGAAAAGTAAAGAACAACAACAAAAAGTAGTTTTAGATGGTGTTGGATAAACATCAGCATCACTGACAAACAAATTAAACAACCGAATATGCCACTTCGTATTTCTCAGTTCCATATACTAGAAGCCTTTTTTTTTTCTTCTAAACAGAGTGTGAAGCATAAAAAATGTCAACATAATTTCAATGATGCTCTCTATTTTTATCAAGAATACTATTATGCATTTTCCTTGATGAAATGTCACAGCTGAGTTATGTCAAACATTATTTATGGGATTGTATTTGATGGATTGACACAACCACTTTTTAGGGTTTAACTATCTCACTAACTCACAATTCAGATGCATGTTATATTACACACTGCAAATATTCATTTAAATGTAGTGTGGATAGTTAGACGCAAGTAGTCACACAATAAAAATGAACCAAGAACTCTATAACTAATATGGGGAAACCATGCTGTGACAGTGTCACATAAAAATTAAGAGGGCGAAATTGATCAGTCAAATAACATAATCAAATCGAATAACAAATATAGAAGACATAAGTGACCTCTAAAAGGTCTACTTAAGGGAGAAAACACACACACACACCAAAGGCATTTTATTTTAGTAAAAATTCAGAAAACCCAAATTAGGATCAAAGGCATTTTGTTTTAGTAAAAATTCAGAAAACCCAAATTAGGTTAAAAGGAGTGGAAGCCAATACTAGGTTTTTAAATCCAAAAAACACAAGAGTATGCTTCTAGCCTCCTACAAATTAGTCTACTGAACACCACTTTTACAACACCCCCACCCCCCCCCCCCCCCCCCCCCCCCCCGGTCCACAATGGAGGTGTCGGGCCTCTTAGAGCATCCCATAATCCATCACCGAGCACATGCAGTCTCTCTGTCCCGGGAAAATTCCCTAGTGTTGGCCCCAAAGGGATTTGAACTCTCAATATCCTTAATGAAACTTTGGATAGGCACATTAGTTTGTTTTTTTTTTGTTAAAGGAAGATTCATGAAGATTATATAACTATAGTTCTTCTAGTGTAAATAGGTATCTCTTTCCTTCATCAAACTTAGTGCACTAAGTACTACAATTTTTCTTAAAAGGAGCGTCTGCTATCACACAGTATATCATATCTCAATCTGAATTAAACAATTCAAATCAATTTCAAAAGTCAGTGAAGATTTTGAAACTTATTCATAGCTTTTTCATTGTCTTGTTACCCAGTAATTCAAATTAAATATAAACCAGTCATTCAATATTGGGACCACTAAATCACATTAAATTTCAACAATTAATTCTTTCAATCGAAATAATAGAACTTCAACCATCAAGCACAGAGCCATCAGTAAACCATACATAAAAGTTATAAACAAAACACACACACACAATTATCATCCTTGGAAGTCAAAACTATTGAATTGCATGAAACAATCAACAACAAAATTATTATTTCGAGCAAGGATTCTGCTACAGTAATTGTGAATGAAACTTTCATCATCCCAGAAATTTTCAGGGAAAATTTACAGAATTGAGTAAAGTAGGAGTTACCTTGGAAAATCTTTATGGGTCTCACTAGGATCAGGAAATCAACAGACAGAAACTACGGTTGGGGTCGTGATTCGTGAACTGTGGTCTCTCATTCCATATATGTTTCTAATTACCGTTAATTCAATGAGAGAGACTCAACAGTCTTCTCATTGATCTAGGACTGAGTGGTGTGAGTCTAACATGAGCCGCGGATGCAGGATAGACCCGTATGGTCCAGTCAACCTGTGAATGCACATGATCTTTTCTCGTGCATTTTAATTTCTGTGCTTGGTTAGGTTTTCTGGTCCAATGCTGTAAAGTAAGAAAAAGTGAGCGCTCTCTTGTCCTCTCATCTTTAGCTTTAGATGCAAAAGATCATGATGTGCCTTTATTGGGTCCCATTCATCTCTATCGGATTTATATTTGATTACAACACTCTATCTAATTTTAATTCATTCGCCAACCAATAAATGTTGTATTTTTTAAAATTTTATTTAACAGAGGTTGAAATTGGTTGAAAATAATTACTAGAGTCTTACATATATTGTGATTGATTTTCAACTAACTACTGTAATGATTGTCCGTTCACAATTACAATTACTTTATTTTTACTTGAATAAGTGTGTAAATTATAAAAAATAAAATAAAAAAATCATTTTATCGCAAATGGAACAAACCAACCCGAACTGTATAGTTGGATTTGCTTCTATAATACTCCCTCAGTCCTTTATGAGTTGTTCATTTTTTGTTTTATAATATTTTAAGGAGACATGCAATTAATGCATTGTCCTCATTTCAAATTACTAAATTGTTCTTCAAATTTTAAAAATTTATAATTCCAAGTTGTAAGATTTTTGAAAAGTTAAAAATGTAATAATTATGAAAAGATAGCATTTATTTTGTTTGACCTTTCAAAGTGGACATTTAATTTGGGACAAGGGAAAAATTGACTACTAATAAGAGACATAGGGAGTAGTTTAATTTTGATTTAAAAAATTAAAGAACTCTTTAATAATAATTCCGTTCAAATTAAAAAGGACCCTACCAAATTTTATGGAGTTTTAATGATAAATTGATAATTATATATATAGTGCACATGATTAATTTTTTATTAGTACAGAATTATGATTCTTATATATTTTTTAATTTTTGTTATAATATATATGTATATAAGAAAGTCAAAAGTGCAATAATTTTTTTTTTTATTTTATATTATTTGGGAGTATAATAATAAAATCACCTTAAGACCTGATCACAAATTGTGATCGGGGGTCCGCACAAGATTTTTGAAAAGTAATATACTAATATATAAAAAATAAATAAAAAAGAAATTCATACTATTATGGATTATTCTTATTAATTAGAATTTAAATGTAATTGGATATAAAGCTGACACTTCCAACCAAAAAAAAGTTTGAACCACTCTACTTCTAGTCTAGCAATAAAGGCTAGGAATATTTCATTCTATTTTTAGTGACAATATAATCTCAGGTCATTAAATAAGTCTCTCTATCAAACAAATTTTGTAATTTAAGAATATTTTGTTTGATCCTAAACGGTGTCATTCCAATGAAAATATTCTAATTGGGAGACCCAATTAATTAGAAAACCATAGTGGGACGCATGTTCGCTGGCGCATGTTAGCTTTACCAGCAGAATCCAATAATTGAGAGTTTTTATTTTTCGAAAATAATCCAATAATTGGTTTTAAACGACACACAATAGGACAAGAACATATAAATACAATAAAAGCCCATTTAAGTCTAGGTATCTTGTGACGTACGTTGTGATGCATTAATTACTTTTATGAAGTAAAACGACATTAATTTCCAAAGATTGACGACTAGTGAGTCGTGATCTTCGAACGATATCAATAATAAATTGTCATTAATTTGAGACCACCATTCAATACGAAGTCTATTTTATTGTGTTTAGACATAGTCTTTAGACTTACGATATTATATATATATATATATAGTAACTTTCACTTATAAATAGACAGTATAGTGACTACACAGATCTGGTTCAACAGGTTTAGTTTGTTGCTTTTTTTGGATTATGATTTTATGTATGGATTACATGACCTTCATATGGGATATGTTCATCAAACCTAATTCCTATTTGGATATGATCAAATACGCTGTCTGGTCCACTATTTGGTCCACTGAGAAAATATTAAATATTTCAAGATATAATATTCAGGCAATGACAGTCTTTGAAACATGAATATAGTGGTGGGTCACACCACATTTAAAGACTGGAATAGTCTAGGAGTACTATACCTTCGAATATTTAATACTTTCTCGTTTAAAGTATTACATACCCTAAGGATATAATACCCAGGGCAATGGCAATCCTTGGATCATGAATGTGGTGGTGGGCCTCACCACATTCAAGGGTTGGGATGACTTTGGGTACCATACCTTCCGATATTTAATACTTTCTCGTTTCACTTCATTTTTATTCAACAATTGAGATATAGATCCCTTCAGGAAAAAATCCTCTCCACTCTCTCACTAAACGATGTCAAGTAAACATTTGACGGTAGTGTTATACAGAATATATTATTATAAAATTCAACTTTACCTTTTGGTTGAATTTAAGACAAAATTAAAAAGCAAAATAACTTCACTTTAAAACAATTCAACAAAAATTAAAATATATATACATAACATGTTACTTAAACAAAATTAGAAGGAAGAACAAATCATAATAATGCGTTATTAGGGTTAATATACAGCTACTTCAAAAATAGATCTAAATCACTCAATTGACAAAACTTCTTCAAATCAAAAATTTCAAACCGTAATTGCGTAGGATTCGGTCAAATTGAACAATTTTAATTCTTTCACTACAAACTAAATCTTACCTCATAACTTTAAATTCTAAAGAGAAGGATTGAAAAAAAAAAAAAAGTGTGGCTAAGTTTCTCTATATATGTATATTACTGGCTACTTCTATTATGTGTTCTTCCCTTTTTTTATTCCTTTTTTTTTTTTTTTTTTTTTTTTTTTTTTTTTTTTTTATCTTTTCCGCCTCTCTCCTTATATATACACACATATATGTGCCAAAATTAGCAAATGTAATATATATATATATATATATATATATACATATCTTCCCATAGTTCTTCTGCTATACTTTGTTATTATATTTTTTTTTAGGGTTTAAATTTGAACCAACTGGGATCATAAAGTGAAAGTCAATTCATTAGAAACTTAGTAAATATGAATTTAACTCCGCCAAGTCAGTTTTTTTACCGCTCACTGGACTAATCCAATAAAAAGTAACTGGAAAAGAATTTTTTTCGAATCCCTCTTGTACGGAAAGAATCTGTGCACAATATTATGCACCAAAACATCACTATTTTGATGCATAGCACGGAGACCCGATATAGAATGTTGAATTCTGTATCGGTGATATCATTTGATGCATGTGAAGGACGACCTATTGCACAAATTCCCTCCTAACATTCATCTTGTCTAAAATCCAATTAGTCTTTAACAAGTACAAAAACATTAGGGGAACCAGAGACAAACTTGAGGCCTTGACCCGCCAATCATCTTGAACTCTAAACTTCCCTAAACTTTGGTGTTTCATTTTGATTTCGGTTATGACATCTGGGTGGGCCAATGAACATTCAGATTGGGCTTCAACAAGAACTTCCCACATTCCAAGCCCAGCAATTGGACCAGCACATTGTTAATAAATGAAGTTGTCAAGTGATGACCATATATTTATTCATTTTTCACTTTTGCATTCATATAAATAATAGGTTATACTATATATATATATATATATATATATATATATATATATACTTGAATGTAACATTTATATTTTAGCAAGCTAGGGCTACTGCAAAAAAATAAAATAAATAAAAAATAAATTGTGATAGTCATGAAAGGAACAAAATTTATTAAATAAATAAAAATGGTGCTAAAGATATATTTTTCTCCTAAAAATACCCTACCATGCAGCAAATCACTTAGGGCCTATTTGGCACGTGTTTTATTTTTCTGTTTTTATTTTAACCCGAAACAAAACAAGTGTTTTATTGTATTGTATTTTGAATAGTAATAATTGGAAGCATATTTGGTAATGTCTATTTGTTGCAAAAAATTTTGAAAGCAAAAATATAAAACATGTTTGACAAAAAGAGTGTTGCAAGTTCAAAAAATATAATGGCTAATTTAAAAAGGTCATTTCAGAGTTTTTCAAATATATATATATATATATATATAGGTACTGTTTATTGATACAGTACTCATTGTTACTGTGTATAAACATTGATTGCTATTCATGAACCGTTTTGGCATTCGGCATTGTGCAAAAGAAAATGCATACCAAACCCTTGCCTTGTTACTTGTTTCCCATTCTTTTCCTAATTATGTTTGGCTTGCTTTTTCAAAGCACTATAGTTGTTACCCAAAGCAGAAAATTGCCTGGAAAAGCTAGCCAAAATGGTGCCAAAAATAAATAAAATGGTAGTTGGACAATATGCAAAGCAATAATGTATAGGCACTTAGTGTTAATACCACATGGATCACTCCTAACAACATGTCTCCTCCAAGATTAATTGGAGAAATGTGAATCCTACCACTAAGCCCTTTCGTAGAGACATTGCCAACAGCAACAGGCAATTAAGTGATTGTAATGGTGAGTTTTGCGGACCAAAATGTTGATTTGAAACACATGGAATTATAGCACTTTATAGACAAAAATTAAGGAGATTCAAAATCTTTAAATACTAAAATGTCACAACCTTAAAAACTAGGTCTCTCAATCTCAGAAGGGATCAAAACCATTTAAGGAATAAGAATAACCCAAGTTTCAATATGTGACTGTCTATATGATATGGGCGGGTGTAATGTAGGCGGGTATTGACTGGTTACAGGGTGCCATTATCTCACATCACCTAAGAAAGGTGAAGTGTTATAGGTTCTACACATTTCTATAACATAACGGGTTTTAAAACTGTGATAACCGTGAACTCATTAGAACTCCAAAATTAAACGTATTTAACTCTTAGTAGTACTAGTGTTGAAAAGTTTACAGGGTATCATTATCATAACATAACCTGTTTTAAAGTTGTGATGACCGTGAACCCATCAGAACTTCAAAGTTAATCAATATTGAAAAATTTCTGAATAATATTATGTCTGGATAGAATAAACTTATGAATAATATTATGTCGGTATAGGATGAAGGTATTAACACAACACTTGCAAATTTTAACCTCAAAGCCTATATATATATAACTTTAATACTTTTAGAATATGGATGAGACCGAGGTCTCTGGTCGGGAGAAGCCAAAAA